TGTAATACACTTTTGTGGAGCTTGGCATCTTTTTTCAAATGTTGCATGAATTAACTTAAATTAGAGACATCAGGAGCAAAAAATTATAGCCAAAATATTGAAGTAGTATCAACTTTATAATTTCTCAAATTATCTCAAAAAAAATGTGTTTAAGCACTAGAATACCTCTCAAAAAAATTTCAACCCTCCGAATCTTTTTTTTTTTAATGTTATTTTTACCAAAAAAAAAACCTTTAGAATTTCAGTTACTTAATTTCTCGTAAGAATGATTACCCCTCAAACGTCAATGTTAAGTCTGTTAAAAGTCTCAATTATTCTTACAACAATAATCTTGTTTAACAAATTAATAACATATTAAATAATATATTTTATATTAAAATAAAATATATAAGGTCTTGTAACCAACTGCGACAATATCCCATTCACATCAAGACTAAAATTGTGCCAAGAATGCTACACATACTATCCAAGTCTTGGGCATAGTGGGTAGGGGATGACATTATAGTGGTGGAAATAGTATAAGCTATAGGTTGTGCGATCATAGGTCTAATGAGTAAAAATTCAAATTTCTTCGTTTAATGCTTAAATTTGAATTTACATAGCTATAACAACTCGTTAGAACTATATCTATTCTTTAGCATTCAAAGTATGCGGTGGGACCTTAACTTCGACTTTGACATAAGTGTGATAGAGTCCCCTATGGATAGCTGTGTAGTACTGAAGGGCAATGTTCCTTGGCGGATATGTGGACTGATCTATCTACATATTCATTTTTTGTACCAAAAAAAAAGGATTAATTCCCAAAATTAGTTACTTTCAAACTTATTTTTTAAGTTCAGTCACTTTCAGCTTCATTCTTCTTCGACGACGAAGGATGTTTGTTGGCTTCCGATGACGACAAGGAACTCCGGCAACGTGATGATCTCCGGCATTGATGAACCCCTCTGGATATGCCCCGCAACATAAAAAACCCTAAAATGATATCCCCAAGTTCAGTGTCACCTTTCACCACCATTCAGTTTGTTATACATGGGTCAACCTCTTTTAATCCGCCTACTTACATGTCCATTTCTGAAGTTACCTAAAGACATCATATTTTTGTGGAGTTTTAAGTCTTGTAAGTGCATTTCACACTAGTAAGTTTTTGGTCTAATCATATTTCTTACTTTCTGAAGATTTTATCTTATTGAAATTAAGAGTTCAAGTCTCCCACCTCACTATAAAAAAAAGTGCATTTCACAACCCATTCCAAATAGTTTCTCTCTCACTCTCCATATCAAATTCATTGGATATTTTATATTTAATTATTTCTTAGTCACGAGATATGTATAAAGAATCTACGAAATAAAAGTACAGTCAAGTATTAAATTTAAGTAATGTTAGATTGACCCAAAAAAAGGGATCAATTATGTGACATTATCAGTATTGTTGATTTAATATTTACGCATTTGAAATTCAAATTTATCTTATTATATTAATACCATATAATTTGGTCAGTATTTTTTATCCCTTTTTTTAGTTATATAGCTTTTTAAATTTTCAATTTCATGGGCAAGTTTCACCTTTTTTAGTTAGGATGGAGTTATTCTCACCCCATAAATATATCTATTCCTAACCTATTAAAATTTTTATTATCAAACTATTAAGCTCACTCATTTTATACTCAACCCAATTCAATTAAGTTCACCCCATGTCATACGCACCCTTTTAATAACAAGCCCACCTTCTATCTTCTCAAAATTAGAGTTTCATTCATTATCTTCTCCAATACACCCTTCATAAAATAGTTTTTCAATATTGATTAATAAGTAAGATGAATATATCACTTTCTGTATTTATGAATTATTCAAGATGATTCTAATTTCTGTCACAACAATATCTATTAGATTAACTGTCCAAAAAATTATATGTACAACTATAAATAGTCAACACAAGAATTTAAAATGTTTCTTTTTCCTTCTTATTGCAAACGTGTGTGTATATATATATAATTAACACACTCACACACACATATAAAAAACCTAAATCAAAAATAATTAAACTTAAACATAATCAAACATGAAATCACACAGTAAACATGAAATCTAACAAAAAAGTTAAATCAAAAAATAATATTAACATGCATCTCATTAGGAAAATTCATATTTAAAAACCATTTTCGTATATGATATATAAGAAAAAATAATGAATGAAGTCCTAGTTTTGAGAAAATACAAAGTGGACTTGTTATTAAAAGGATGTGGATAGCATGAGTTGGACTTAGTTAAAATGTGGTGAGTATAAAAGTGATGGACTTAATAGTTTGATTCTAAAAATTTTAATGGGTGAGAATAAATATTTGTAGGGTGAGAATAACCGCACCGTTTTTTGTTATCCTTTTGCACATTGTCATTAATTCTTTCAAAGTCACATAGCTCTCATACCCTATATTTATATCCATGGAACCTTTAATTGAGGAGCAGAAGCCTAGTATTTTTTTTTTCTTCTTTATTTCCCTGTTAAATCAGCCCTAATTAATTTGTCTAACTGATTCACTTTACACTTGTGTGTATAATACATATAAATTTTGTAAGAAGAGTATCTCTAATAGACCTTTTATTCTCATTTAACTCTCTATTTTTGAGAGAAAATCATCAAAAATCAAGTTTCAATAAGCTCTCTACATTTGGAGAGCAAACCATCACTCTCTATTATATTTTTAATGAAAGAAAATATGATACTATACATTCTTAACTAAATGCTATTGACTATAAGATTAATTTTCTACTAAAATAGAAAAGTCATTAGAGTTGTCTAAAATAGTTCACTCTTTATTTCTAAATTTTATCAAAGATACTATTTGAAACAAAAAGTATTATTGGAGATGCCCTTATTATCTCTATTTCTTACGCAAACTCTTATTTAAATTTAAATTTGAGTAAAAACTGGTTAAAAATAACTTCGGGTCCTTTATTCAAACTTCCCTTTATTCAAACTTATATCAAATGAAGAAATACTTAAATTTTTATTCAAATCAAGAGAAACACAAATCTTGAATAGTCAAATTTTACCTTCCTTTAAGGATCTAATGGTTATATTCTATACTTTTTAAAATTTCGGTTTGTCATTAGTTAAATTTGGGTTTGTCCTCTATTACCTTTGAATTTCTTCATTAAAGTGATTTATATCAAATCAAATTTTTTATTCAAATATTGGCCCAAATTCTTAAATTTGAGTCGGAGAAGGCCTTATAGCCTAATAGGGCCAAATTAAGATATTGAATATTTAGGGGACAATTTAGAATAGAGAAAACTTCATTTTACCCATTGTGGTTTACCTTGTTTGTACATAACTCTCCTTAGGTCTAAAAATAGCACATAATCCCATACGGTTGTTGGACTAAAACAAACACTTAACCCTGTTAATAGTGAAAATATAATGACCTTAATACCCTTTATTTTTAATTAAAAAAACAAAAATAGCCCCAAAATTGTCATCTTCATCCTCTTCATCATCTCCAGCAGCCCAATCAACATTCCCACCATCTTCATCACCTCCAGCAGTCTAACCATTGCCAACTCTAGCATTCTTCGTACATTCACATCAGCCACACAAAAAAAATTCTAATTAGCTATAACCATTGTTCATCACCCCACCAAAAAATCAACCTCCACACACAACTTTCTATCCAAACACCTCAATTTCCTATTTTCTTTACCATAAATCAGAATGAAAATCAAAAATCAAATTGATAATAAAAAATAAATTCCAAATAAAAAGAAAATCAAAATCGCGATAATTTTTTTTTTTTTTTGAATTGAATCAAATTCAAAATTCAATGTCAAAATCAGAGACAGAGAAGAGTGGCAGCGCCACTAGTGGACCAAGGGGGCATGGACCCACCCTGAAATTTGTTTACAAATTATTAATTATATATTTTTAAAATTTTCTAGTATATTTCATGGTACCCACAGTATATATTTTGTGTCAAATTTATCAATTTTTGGTTCTATCAAGTAGTATATATAAATATTTAATTAATTATGAATGTTTTTACCATACTTTACGGTCTAGACAAGTTTTTGATATGTCGAATTTATTTTTTTAAGTTATAAAAATGAGTATAATTAGTCTCTTTTCGTTATTTGTTTTGTATATTGTATGCATATCGATGTTAAACTATTTTATATTTAATAAATGTTTGAGTATCAAATATAATATAATAAATTTAAATGTGTTATATTACTTTTTTCAAGTGAAAAAAATTAAATTTATAATTAAAGAGCCCATTCTAAATAAAATTTTGGTTTTGTGCCTGACAGAAAAGCGAGAGAAGAACAAAAAGGAGAGGTGAATCAAAAAAAAGAAAAAAAAAAAAAAAAAAGACTAGATTCATCAAATTAGGTAGCTATAGCAGTCATTTATATTACAACTTGAGGGTATTTTTAAACTTTTAACGTGCTTTGTTTATATTAAATTATGGTAACTCGTGTTTAAAAGTATGGTAAAATTTTAATAGAAATATTAGTAGTCGTTGGATGAATTTATTTGAAATCGTTGAATATTATTATTAAAATTTATCCTATTTTATATTATAGAATAAATTATAAAATGCATAGTAGGCGTGCGAGGTATACAAACCATTGCTAAATTGGATTACAAAGTTGATGGTGTTTTTTAATCCAACAACTATATAAAGGTTATCTGCTATTTTCAGACACCAGGGGGGTTATCTGCAATCAGGGTTTTCCCATTAAAATAATTTAACGGGCAGGATTTAATTTGATCCAAGTTACAAAATTTGAAATTCAGATCGACCGATACGTACAGAAACAGTTCTTATCTATATTCAACACTGTCTTTCTCTCTCTTCTTTTCATAAACACCTCTTTTATTTTTTTTGTCAAACGTCTCTCTCCATGATCTTCTTCAATTCCTCTCTCTAATTTTCGTTTTGGTGTGCAATACAATTTTTTTTTTTTTCTGTTTTAGGGTTAGGGTTTTTGGTTGGATGAGAAGAAATGAGTCAACAGTCCTTGATCTACAGCTTCGTGGCTCGTGGGACGGTGATTCTCGCGGATTACACGGAGTTCACGGGGAATTTCACCTCTATCGCTTCTCAATGCCTCCAGAAGCTACCTGCGACAAATAACAAATTCACCTACAATTGCGATGGACACACCTTCAATTACCTCGTCGAAAATGGGTTCAGTGAGTTGCCAGATCTAATGATTTTTTCCATTTTTTAAAAAATTGTGATAAGATCAATTATAGGTTTTTATCTATTTTGTGTTTGATCAATCATTTCTGATAGTTTTTGAGGTTGGTCGATGTGTTTTTGATTGTTGAGCTGTTTAATATGTTGATTCAGTCTCCGAATTTCATGATCCACAAGGATATATAGGCATATGTTCATGTATTTGTAGGCATACGTATAAATATGGAGACCAATTTAGCTTGTCTAAAAGTTATAATAGGGTGGACAATTTATTTACATTGACTGTGTGCTGACATGTTGAGATTATGGAACAGGATAATTAGATAATGAAGTTAGAAATGAAACGATCATAGGATTCTATCATTTATTTTTTGTTTAGATTTTTGTGATGGGCAAACAGGGAATTCTAGAAATTGGTTACCCATTTGACATGCTCATCGAAATGCATTGCTCTGATTTTGGGCAAATTTTAGAATGCGAATTGTATGTTCCTTTAGGCATCTTTTAGATGTTTTATGATTTATTTTGAGATTGTTATAAATTGGGTAGAAAGCTTGGATAATTGGTTGGTATAATAATCTGCACCGAGTTTGTCTGGAATTCTATGCTCCATGATTTTGATTTTGATTTATTTGAATTTATTGGTCCTTTCTATTTGATGGGCAGCTGCTGAACATTGACTAATAGCTCAGTGGAGATATGCATGAGAAACATGATGGTTGTTTCCCACTGCACTAAAATAAACAGTAAAAAGAAAAACCAAGAGAACAAAAAAGAAGCTATTGTGTTGGCAGGCTAACAACCGTGGATTGTGATTAAAATTTGACATCAACCACTTTATGCAAATAAACTCAAATTTTGGGCCTCCACTCGGCCCAGCATCACTCAGTAATGTTGATCAAACAAGATAAAGAACCCTTTTATTGTTGGATTTGTTGTAGTGAAAGAAAAATTGAGCCAGGTTACGGATCCTCCCTTTTTATCATCCTTGAAAATATCTGAGTGCATATTTTCATTTGGTTGTGGTCACACTGAAGTAATTTAAAGAAATATGTTTCCTGTGTAAACAGTTGTGTCCTGGTAAAAATAATTTGTGCATTTACCCCATAGTATGCCCTTGTCATTTTGAGGGATCCTGGGGTAGCAGCAAATTTAGTTGGTTCGTTACTCTGTTTGGCATGTTAGTGGATTTTCACCCCATGGAAGTCAACTATTCTGGAACCAGATTCCAAGATCACCAAAACTGAATTTTAGTGATGCTGGTTGACTATCTGGATGAGATTCCATCCTCACTACAACAGATACCTCAAATTTGGAAAATGTCCTTTAGTCCCAAACGTGGTGATTAACGCCATGGCTATCATAACTTCCTTGCTTTCTTTGAGTGATAGGGAGAGTCACTTTCATGGTTCAAAAATTTGGCCTAGACTAATACGTCTTGGATCCAATCCAAGTATCCAACACCTCCTGTCCTGATACCGTTCTACGTTCCTTGTATGAGAATCGGCCGATTCATCTGAGTAATCATGACACCCCGATTTATATCCTAAATCCAACATCATATTCAATTACTTATTCTCTGTTGCATCTCGTGCGTATCACCCAATTCTGTACCCTGCAATTCAATGGCAGCTACTGATATTTTTATCGGTGGCCAGTCTGCATTCACAAGGTGTCGGCGCAAATATTCATAAAAAAATCTTAATTAACTGAGAAGCATTCAAATATAAACCTAAAAATAGGAATTCCAAACTCTGTCAGAAAGCACCCACTTAATTCAACCATAAGGGCATTAAGACCGCTTCCTTCTCTCAAAACAAAGCCTAACCTAAATACTTAGGATAAATTAGTGTTATGCACTGAACTGAACATCAGGTGCTGTGGACGATGTTTGGGTTATTTAAGGTTGTGTTTTGACACAAGATGCAGATTTCAAGAAAGGTGGTTGGGCTTGTCAAGGGGGATTTATAAGGATAGATTAACTGCCAACCTCTACCCTGCATGCATTTTTGCTTTCTGAAGGACCAAAAACGTTTTCCACGTGCTGCCCATCCTTTATTTGGAATTTATTGAACGGGTTGACCCTTTGTTTTGGCAACTTATCCTAAAGCCTCCTCGCCAAGAGCTTCCCGTTGATGACACCTGCCTGCTGCCTTACTCTGAAAAAGAAGGTTCCGAGGTTGGACAGTAAGTCTTTTACTGTCCAGCCTCGATCAAAAGACAATTCTTTGTAAAAACCATAAGAAAACAATGACAGACTTTCAATTTAGTCAAATTCAACCTTAAAAATGACCCAATTTCCAGATTTATCCTTTCATTGTTTTCCTTTTCTTGGCCTTCCAATGGTTTGCAGCAGTTATTGGCCGCCCATCCGACTGCTCAAGGGGAAAATTAGCAAAAGAGTGCTTTACTGCTTACCCTTTATTTAACGACAATGCTTTACAAAAAAAGAAAATGTCTGCAAAACAGTTAACAAACTTCAAGCTTAGTGAAAGTCAGCCTTGTAATGAACCATTTTAAGGTGTTATACTGTTCTCCTTTCATACTATTCCTTTTCTTGGGCTTCTTATGTTCTGCAGCAGTTAGTCAGCTTTCTAAGGCTATCCACATGAAATGTTTGTTTAGGATCATTCTAGTAGACCTCTTAAGATTTATTTGCAGAAGTGTTTACTCAGTAAATCTAAAGTAAAGGTTTTTACTATTTGAGCCTGTCATTTCAATTCCAACCTATTGAAAGTGACACGATGATTGAATTGTCTTTCTTTCTGTTTTGTTTTTCCCCTTTTTCCTGTACTTTGCATATTGCTCTAAATTCTTTGTTGGCCTTATTGAGTCTAATACCTAATTGCTTAGTATTTTCTAATTCACTCTGCATATCGCATGCGCATTCATCAGTCAACTGATAATGTTTTTATGCAAAGAATTTGAATTTTAAAATTATAAATGTGGTACCACATTTGTTGCTGTAATTTCATTAATAGCACATTCTTTCCACTTCTGTTCTGTATTTTGTTTGTACTCCTTGTTGCTTCATATTCACTTTTGTTCATAATCACTTTTGTTGAGGCAATCTTGCTTATGGAATCGGTTTTTATCTGAATTATGTTTTAATGTTTTTGTCAAGAATAATAGTATTTTGCGTATTGAAAATGTATTAATTCTGCAACTGCATTTGGACACTGCAGCCTACTGTGTTGTTGCAGTTGAGTCTGCCGGCAGGCAAATTCCCATTGCCTTTTTAGAGCGAACGAAGGAAGATTTCAACAAGAAATATGGGGGAGGGAAAGCTGCAACTGCTGTGGCCAACAGCCTGAAAAAAGAGTTTGGGTATATCTCTCATTTTCACTTTTATAAGAGGTATGCGTTTTGCTGTTTCTATTGATGATATTGCTTAAGCCTTCTATTGATATTGTAGGCCCAAACTGAAGGAGCACATGCAGTACTGTGCAGACCATCCAGAAGAAGTCAGCAAGCTTGCCAAGGTTAAGGCTCAGGTTTCTGAAGTTAAGGGAGTGATGATGGAAAACATTGAGAAGGTAAGGAGGGTTTTTGAGGTTGTCTTTTAATTGTAGGACTTAATTCGAGCTTTATTGAGTCAAAAAATAAGCCTTTCAATGCATGTTTGTTTCTGAGCATCCATACACTGTATTTTTGGTTAAAGAACCTCGGCTCGTGCAGGTTCTTGACCGTGGAGAGAAGATTGAGCTGCTGGTGGACAAAACTGAGAACCTCCGATCGCAGGTTAGTCTGAGTAATTCTGCATGTGTTTTGTAGCTAATTCAACTAAAAGATATATCCAAGTGTTGCAATTGCGTGTAAGTTGGTTTCTGTTTTGTAATTAGCCTGCCTTCCGAAGCTATCAGAACGCTGTTGGACAGAAAGGGTGGCTTTATTGGGGGCCTGGTGCAAATGGGAAGTTTAGACTTGATAAACTGTTTGAGATGAGGATGGAGATATTGCTGTTGCTTTGCTTTGTTTTACTTTATTACCCCGACCTACTTCTGTAGAGTGTCCTTTCTACTTCAAGTTTGGAATACCTCTCTTTCCTTGTTGCGGCTGGTCGCCTTAGTTCAGTCGAATGAGTTTTGAGAGGCGAAACGCAAGCGCCTGATATCTATACAAGCGTGATGTGATTTAATGTATGATTGTTGAACTTCGTTTTTTGTTTCAGGCTCAAGATTTTAGGCAGCAGGGGACCAAGATGAGGAGGAAGATGTGGTTCCAGAACATGAAGATAAAGCTGATTGTCTTGGGTATCCTCATAGCCTTGATTTTCATCATTATTCTGTCTGTCTGCCATGGCTTCAAATGTTAATTTGTGCCGATTTTGTCAACACTCTTGCTGCCATGCTTGACTAGGATTGTTCTGTTGGATTGGTTCACCCTTTGATTCTGTTCCATCTGCGAATCTCTTTCTCTTATCGCTCCTCCCTTTTATCCAAGCCTCTTTGGACCGGAAAGGGCTTGTGTATTTTGGGTTAAATGTATAGGTGATGTGCTGGAATCTCTTGTAGTTAAAGAATTCTCTTTATCCATGAGCCTTTTTTTTTTCCCTTCTGAATTCTTCGAATATGTAGTGGATGATACTTGGATGACTGCAAATCTGGTCAACCTCAACCTCTTGAAATGTCATAAAATCTGTTTCCTGTTTCGTTTGTTTTTGATTTATGATATTCTTATTAATGTGCTGTTTAAGTGGGTGAGGAAGGAGAAGCAGGAATAGAGAGTTTTTGTAAATCATGGATGATGGGTCCACGACTAGTATCTAATATTTTTTTTAACAGTTACACCTTGTACATGAGCTCATGAATGCACTCAACGGCGAGAAAAAAAATATTCAGTACCGTACAGTCATTTATCATTTTTGTGGGCATTTTTATTATTTTTTATGCCTTTTTATTATTTTTTTGGGAATTATTTGGAAAAATTATACTTAAACCTTGACGTTTGTCACTTAATCACTTTAAATCCTCTGACTTTTAAAATATTACACACAAATTCTGTAAAATTTGTATACGCATAATACATAGACAAATGTCTGTTCGGATATTCATTAGTGAATTACATCTAGATGCTTAAAATTTGGACATGTATAATACTTAGATTCTTCAATTTTAAAATATTTATATTAAAAATATTTTAATTAAAGTTAGAATATTAAATATTATAAATTTTATAACTAAAATTCATGATTTATTATGTCAATTATTGAAATAAAATTAAAATTAAAAATTTAATTTTTTCTTAAAAAAAAATATAATTAGTACTGTTCGGATTTTTTCTTCAATTCAACACTCATTTGTATACAATTATATCGTGTATTGAAATAAAACAAAAAAAATTAAATGAGTTAAACTGTAATAGACACGATATTTTATATCTTTAAATGAGGTAATTTGATCGTTTAACAAATTATGTTAATTTTGTAATTAATAAGGAGTCTAAGTGTAATATTTTAAATATTGAGAGGTCTAAGTGTTTTACCCCTACAAACTTTAGATGGTCTAAACGTAATTTATTAATAGATATACTAACAGACATTAACGATAGATGTCTAAGTATTACGACCGTACAAACTTTAGAGAGTCTGTGTGTAATATTTTAAATGTTAGGGGTCTAAGTGATTAAATGACAAACTTTAAAAAATTTAGATATAATTTTCCTTAATTATTTTTACCACTTCTTTGATAATTGCGATCAATCTTAAAATGTTGCAAATACCACAAAAGTGACAAATCATCCCACAAAAGTTGTAAATTTTATTGTTATAAAAACAGCCATTAATGTAGTAAAATTTTAAGGTACAATATTAATTTTTTTTTTTGGTGCCTTAGTTAAGTCCAATAAAAATACCTGTCTGAGTATAGTGCTTAATTTTATTTCCTTATTAGTATTTCTATTACTTGAAAAATGTGTTTTGTTGGACTTACAATTTAGTCAAAAAATTAGATTTATGACATAAAATAAATACTTTTAATATTAAAAAAATGGTGGTTAACATAATTTATTTCAAGTGCTAATAAATAAGTTGGAAGTGGCTTAACCCCTTAAAAATAAGTAGAACAAGATAAAAGCATTGTATTTTCTTCAAAATACTTGTATGCAAAGCATTACACATTTTAATATGCACAATTGCTACCATAACAACCACGATCGCTTTCCACTACCACATGTTGCCGCCACCACCACACAATGCCACCATTACCATTGGATCCTCCCACCACCGCCATCATCCCAACACTATAATTGTTGTAGTCATTCCATGAAGTCACCTACACCACCATCATCCCAACACTACAATCATGTCGCCATTACCACCAAGTCATCTATACCACTATCTTCGCTAACAACCGCGGTCTTCACTCACTAAACTAGACAATTATAAACACAACTTACAATTAGTAAGTTTTGATCAAGTCTTATCGTGTTTGGGTTATAAACAATTAAAACCTATTTAGATATGTAAAATGATGGGCAACACAGATCAACTAAATCACGATTTATGCATAACATATATAAATAATTTGAGCATTAATTAAACAAGTTTTAACATGATATAATTTAAACATCATGACATAGTAATAACTCAATTCATATCACCGCCGTTGTTGTCGCCATAAGCACTTTTACTACGGTCACTTCTCATCGACATGATACAATTTAAACACAGCATGATGCATTTATAACTTAACTCACATTGCCACACCTTTACTTCCCCGACCTCAATTGTCACCTCCCACCGTCGTTGTCTCCACAACCCTCGGTACTCCCGGACATCTACCAAAGTGGAGCCCACTATCAACCATTACAGAAGTTGGTGACATGCTCGTCACATTTTTTTTCAACCACCCAAATAAAACCTCAAATTAGAGGAACACACATAGGCCTTGTTCACACACACACACACCACCCCGCGGAGAAGGACGAAGGGCACAAACGCACTCCACACCGCTCCACTCAAATGCCCGTTATTTAAACCCACCCTTTCCTTGCTCCTCATTCTGCCACGTGTCTCCCAACGACCAGATCCACCCTTAACTCACAAGTAACTTTGCACACACATTCATACACTGTTCAACACTCTCTCTCTCATACAAAACCAGAGCTCAGAGCTATACATACACAGTTCGTACATAGAGTGTTCTAATTTATTTAGTTATTTATTTTTGATTCCGCCATGGACGCAGCGAGTCAGCTTGTCTGCTGCGGAATCGAACCCTTCCGGCGGAATTTTCCGGCTGGGACTCACTCGGCTTCGACGTTAAAGAAGAGAATCGATCACAATTCGCTTCCGAGAGTTGTTAGGATTCGGAGACGACACGGTGTCGTACGCGCCGTGGCTATCGAGCCGAGACCAACAGAAACCAAGTCTTCTTCAAGTACAGTTAAAGTCATCAATGGGTCTCCCAAATCACCGTCGTCGAAGCAGGTCAATGGAGTTTCTACTGTAAGTCACTGCAATCTAGTTTTTTTTTTAAGTTAGGAATTAAGTGTTTTTTTCTTGCATTTTCTTAGCAGCCAAACAAACTGCCAATTTAGTGTGAGAAAGTCGATTTGGTTGGGTATAATGAACTGGTGGATCGAAAACTATTGGCCTCGTTTCGCTTTTGAATTTATTTCTTATGATATAGAGCGATAAAGCTAGTTTTCTAGTCCTAAAGATATTTCTATGCAGCCACACAATCCACCCAGATCGTCCCTCGAATTGTTAATGCTCCTTTATCACTCCATAGATCCTCTATGCTCAATTCCTTGGCTTTTTTACCTTTTTCTTTTTTTGGGTAAGAACATTTGGTACTTTTTTCAGTGTACTTTTTGATGGGCTACCTGCTTTTTGATATTAAGGTGTCACTAAGAGGGACAAAAGGAAGGCTGAGCATTTTATTCATAGACTACCATTATATTTTATCCAGTTTGTTTTATATTAGTCTGCTGATGGTTACTGATAGTGTGGAATTGGGAATGGGACAGAGAGTCGGAGACGTTTCGAAAGAGATCAAACGAGTGAGAGCACAGATGGAAGAAAATGAGGATTTGGCAATACTTATGAGGGGGCTCAGGGGTCAAAATTTGAGAGATGAGCTATTTGCTGACAACAATATCAAGCTCCGCCTAGTTGAGGTTTGTTATTTGTTCTAATTGCATAGTATTTGATTTCAGCAATAGCAAATTTTGGTGATTAAATCATACAATGATTGTTTGTGTTACTAATTTAAAAATCATCTCGGATTTTTTTTAATGAACTTCTCTAATAAACGTTCTTGGTTTCTTGTCAGATGTATTAAATAGAGTGTAATTTGATCTGATTGTGTGCTTGTGGTTGTGGACAACAATTATTTCATGCAGTTTTGACAATTCTACTGTCTCTCGACTTTCACAAAACTCCAGGTGTAAAGTGATGAAAGCTATTATAAGGATATGAAGTTTGAGTTTTTTATGATAGCAAATCAACTGATGTTGAATTTGATTTCTACACAGCTTGAAAGTTAAAATGTGATTCAGGCAGTATCACTCTTGGTCTGAGATCCATGCATCCCTCCCATTTTTGTATATCTGTTCCAAGTTTCCCGAGGCATGGCCATACTTGTGGGTTTTGGCGGTTCTTAGCCTATGCATTTGAATGTGTGGTTGTAAGTGTGTGCATGTGCATATATACGTGTTTTTGTATGTTTATACACACACTTTAACTTCAGTCATCTTGAGATGCGGACAAGTATGGTGAACAATAAATGTGGAATACTGGCTTGTAGTAGTGGAAACATGACAGAATATTAAACTTGGTCTGTGTAAGGATTGAGGAGTCAAAGACTAATTAGGAACCTTTGTGCTTTCAGTGGGGAAAATGTAGCAAAATGCAGACTGGTGAAACTTAAATATGTAGGATACAAGTGGCTATGTATTTCATAACACACCAAGGTGATTCTCTACGGATGCATATGGATGTTGTCATTATGCTTAAAGCTCAATGCATCTGAAGTATGAATCAATTAGGTTTTCTAATTGGATGCCTTTCTTCCATCTCCAATGAATTGTTGATTGTATTCTTATGCACTATTTTGTGCTTCATCAGGTTGATGAAAGCAGTGATTTTTTGCCTTTGGTGTATGATCCTGCTACCATCTCTGCATATTGGGGAAAACGACCACGTGCTGTTGCAACCCGTATTGTTCAGCTATTGTCTGTTGCTGGAGGTTTTCTTTCACGTCTTGCTTGGGATGTGATAAACAAGAAGGTCAAACAGGTGTGTCTTTCATGCTGCGTTTGCCTTCATTGGCCTGTTGTTACATGGGTTTGACTATTTTTTACTTCTTAAAAGATATGGGACACTAGCTTCTCGTATGGCAGAAAAATATATGGGTTTTTTTACCATTAAACCAGCTATTTTGATACTCAGCATTTTGTCAGACAGTTGATTGTGGTCCTGTTTGTGAAATAGTTTTCTTCAAACTCCATGCCATCATTACTTTCATTATTGCCCAATCCATGTCAATTTTTGGTATATTCCTTCTTGAATATTAATGTTAAGGTAGACTACATCAATCTCCTCATGGGTGCAATTATCGTCTTGTTTGTCTGTTGCAAATGACCAAATCAGCTTAGTCAATTTTCCTCCTTTTCTCTCTTTATCTCCTTTTAAAAGTTTCTCCATTCTTATTTCTGTTTAACCAATCTCATAAGTAGAGCTATTGATAAAAATCTATGACAACAATCTTCAAAGGGTTAAGAAGTCACAAAACTAGAAGGTTACAAGGCCCATGCTATAATAAGCTGCATGATAGTGTGAGTGAGAGCCACAGGGGACATCATGTAAAAAGGTTTGAAATTAGTGTTAGTTCATCTGTTGTAGGATTTGCAGCTGTTGGTTTTGTTTTCATCCAAACTCCCTTAAGTTTTAATGAGCAGTAGCAGTTCTGGATTTTAATAAAATTTTGGACTTAACAATATAAAATGCACATAAATAGGCATTGTTGCAGCGTTTTTGCATAATGAGTCTATTCATAACTGTGTTGCTAGGTATTAGGGTAGGAGCCAAAATAAAATTTGTAAGTCTTTAGAGAGCTCGGATCGAATTGGACTGGGCCAATAAAGTGAAGAGGATATTCTAGAAAGGTGGAAAGAATAATGTCTTAGGATGCACATAGATTTCTCAAGGATCATACTTAAACATAGGTTTGCTTTAAGAGTTTGAATGTTGGCTAGCAAGCGTTCTAGACTTATCGTTCTTATTCAATTAAAAATATAAAATATTGCATGACATATGAAAGGTTGCTTTATATGTTCTTGTTTATCTCTAAACAAGGACTTCAAAATATAAATAGAGAGTTTTACATATACTCATGGAATCAATCTATATGCAGGAGAGACATAAGGCTTGTTAACAATACGTATTCAAAATTCTAGAAAAGGAGAACCATAGTTCACTGTTTGCACCAGGCTCGGAAGATATGAAAGCATGTTTGGTATTGATTTGAAAACTACCTTCTCCTTGTAAAATGATAGAGAAAAGCAAAATGAAAAGTGAGTTTTTGGTCACAATGAACCATAGATTCGCCAAAGTACCTGTATTTTTTATTATTCACTTTTGTGGGGCCTATACTTCCAAATCTTAAGAATAGTGAAGTAAAGTGACAACCATAAGGAAACCTGACTATACATGACCATAGGCTTGGTCATTTGAACTGCTAAATAGATCCATTTTGATTTGCTCTGCACCATTGAATGCTAATACTGTCACCTTCCAGTTCTTCTTGTTTACAGTTGCAGATTTTAGTTCAGGCACAATAGAACATTCATTTATTGGTTCAAATTTGGCTTATTGATATTTTCAATATTTATTTTCTGGATTTCATTTATCCTCTAATTAGATATATATGTTCCAATAATCAGAATGAAGTTGCTCGAGCAATTGAGCTAAGGGAAATTGTAACCTCTTTGGGTCCAGCATATATAAAACTTGGGCAAGCATTGAGCATTCGGCCAGATATACTCTCACCTGTTGCAATGATTGAACTGCAAAAACTTTGTGACAAGGTAAGAGAGCTTCCTCTAAATGCGCTTTAATATTCAATATCACTTCTACATATAACCAAGTTGAATATTTTCCAATGTCCCTAGCTGATACTCTTACAAATTGTATTTTCCTATTGAGAATTAGTTTTAGCAGCAATAGGATCGGTTTTAGATAGCGTAATTATTATTTTTTTTTCTAAATCAGCTCTGATCTATAAATTCCACAATATTTATTCTTGTTTCCTATAAAAAGCCGTTAATCAGTTGGCGAGGGTGATTAACTGTACTGGCAGCTATTATTTGGATGGAAAAATCAAAGAACGATGGGTTAAGTTGAAAAGGCTGAAGGATTTAACAATGTAGTTGCCTTTTAATTGCCCTCCTATGTTGTAACACTATGAAAATCTCATGATGATCTCAACGGAGTGCATGCTGATCCTTTAGAATTTTCAATGTGTAAAGTAGATCATAGAATTTTAAATGGGGATATGGCCAAAACTCACAAATAGAAACAAATAGTCAACCAGCTTTCTTTGAAGATGATTAGCATCGCAACATTTATCTTCATGGGGAACTCTTTTGACCTAACATTGATCTGTCCCTACTTTATTCGGCCTTGTTATACTTATTTCTGGATAGCATGTGCAAAATGGCAAAACTTTTGTTATTGTCATTTTCTGTCCATTCTACCCAGTGCAAACTGTTCTATCTTATGCATATGCTTTGAAAATCTGTTAATTACATTAACTTATCTTGTATGCCTTTCTCTTCCTAAAAGCTTTAGACTTCATTCCACTCGATGCTATTTGGCCTCTTTTGCAGGCAGAGTGGAATTAAGATTGAATATTGTTTTGCATCTTTCCTTTCTTGCCAGTGAATAAATGATGACATTTGACTCTTGGTATATGTTCGCTATTTTATATGGAAGTATCTTGCAATTACTTTTCGCTTTTCAGAGGTCTTGTTGCGATATTGCTTGTTTAGCTTGTCTTTTTTTTCTTTTTTTTTTTGCTAGTAGTGGTTTTTTTCTTTTTCTTTTTTTTTTTTTGGGAAGGAGGAGGTTGGGGGGGAAAGGGATACATTCCAATAGTCTAACTGATTGTTACATGTATACTTGGTATACTTGTAAAGTCGATGAGGAATGCACATTTTAATTTTTTTTGTGAAGTTTTAGGTTAGATGTGCACTTTACGTCATTTCCGTGCTGACCCTTGTTTTCTATGATATTTGAAGGTTCCATCATTTCCTGATGACGTTGCTATGGCTCTTATAGAGGAGGAGCTTGGTCAGCCATGGCAAAACAATTATTCTGATCTTTCTCCCTCTCCTATTGCTGCTGGTAATATCAATACCAAAGTGTCTTTGACTATAATTAATGTCCTCTCTAGGTGCTGCTGTAGTAATTTATGTGATTGATTTCTGAAGCTTATCAGCACCGTCTCGCCTTTTGTTGCTTAGTTTCTGAAATTTGTTCCACTCGTTTTTGTTGTGGAAAATCCATGGCAGCATCTCTGGGACAGGTGTATAAGGGCCGGCTGAAAGAAAATGGGGATTTAGTAGCTGTTAAAGTACAGAGGCCTTTCGTCCTTGAGACTGTAACTGTTGATCTGTATGTCATACGGAACTTGGGTTTGGTTCTTCGGAAATTTCCTCAGGTAGTGTTTGGTGATTAAAGTCCTGTTGTCACTTTTCTCTTCTCAATTAGTTATTTCTGTATTTGACGGGATAAACGGTAGCGACAGTAATGGTATACCCTTTCCCTTCTTGTTTTCCCCTTCTTATTTTCCAGATCTCGATTGACGTGGTTGGATTGGTTGATGAATGGGCTGCTCGTTTTTTTGAGGAGCTTGATTATGTTAATGAGGGTAAAAATGGAACACTCTTTGCTGAGATGATGAAAAAAGACCTTCCACAGGTAACTATGACCACGTCTCCTGTAAATGGGTTGTGTCCTTTCCGGTGCCTTATGTTGTTATTTTATGCATCAAAAATAAATAATTCCTGTGTAGGGGAAACAGATTTGTGTGGTCTTGTATTTTAATATAATATGATGATAAATTTGTGGCAGTTTCTGATAAGCAGCTTTTCAGGTTGTTGTACCAAGAACTTATGAAAAATATACTTCAAGAAAGGTCCTCACCACTGCATGGATAGAAGGAGAAAAGCTGTCACAAAGTACAGAAAGTGATGTTGGGGAATTGGTGAATGTTGGGGTCATATGTTACTTAAAGCAGGTATAGTATCCTTTCTATGTACTCATAAACTGTAGCCACAACGGATATTCATTGAAGTTTGTATTCTTTAATTTGCATGCTTGCAGTTGTATTTCTTTGATGATATCTCTGTGATGTAGATTGTATTAGGGAAGAATTAGGGATGAGAAGGGAAGAAGAAAGGGATGAGAAAAGAAGAAGGGGATGAGAATAGAGGAAGAATTTTAGAAAGAATATTCAATAATCAAAGTTTACCAAAACAAATACTATATCCCCTATATATATAGGAAGAACATAAATCCTAAAAGAACTCTAAAAGAAATAAATAGTCACAATGACAACTAAGCCCTTAAAAGTTAAAAGAAAATACTTAAAAGATAAATATTAAATTAATATCTATCAAATTCCTACATGATCCCTATCATTTTCCTCCGGAGAGCCTTCAAAGGAGAAGTACCCTAAGAGAGCAAGATGAAGATGACTTAATGCCTCATCTAGAATGAAAGAACCATCAACTTCTTTCCATCGATCAAGATAAATGTAAGAATCTCCATCTGTATGAACACCTGCTAATAAAATATGAGGCACTAGAGTACATCGATTAAGTAGCATGTCCTCAAAATAAAAATCTGGACTAATACTAACATTTAATGAAAAATTAAGCAAATAAGTATTAGATCCAAACTCAAGAAAAGGAAAACAATTTCCATTAGATTTGAACAACAAGCATTCAGTAGGGCAAGACTTCAATGATAAAGAAGGAACAATAATGCTTTGGTGCTGAAAATAATTAAGTACAAACTCAAGCGAACACTTGGTAGTTGACAGAGGAACAAAGTCAATAATCTTAGATTGGGAAGAATCCGCAATAAAGTCATGATGACTTGGACAAGTAGACACTGGATAGTCACTAGTAGATTCTGCAATAAATGACTCGTTTGGCATAATATCTTGCATAAGTGTTAGACTCATCAGACTTTTCTACAATTTTCAAGGCCAATGATGGTTCAAGAATTGACATAAGTAAAGACTCACACACACTTTCTTTCGAAATGAACTCTTGTGGGTGCAAAGGAGGAGGACTCTGATATGACAAAAGTGAATGAGAAAGTTGAAAGTCTATATGAGTAACATTTTCCTCTTTATCTGATACTAAAATATCTAAATCCTTTGTCACACTCGGATTAGGAAAGCATGCAGAAACAACATGGATATCGTTTAAGTAATCATGATACTCATATGTGATGGAATTAAAATTGGAAGATGTCCTATCAGCAGGCTGTGATTAAGAACCCATCAAGGTGTAGTTGGATTTCTTATAAAATCTCTCAACCTTTAGAGCATATTGATAGGCTACAACTAACGTATTAAAAGTGTATTGTTTGACCTCCCTACTAATTTTGTGTCTCAACCCAAGAATAAACTGATCAATTGTCCTAGGTTCTTTAACAATGTCACACAAGTACATGAGATGATCAAACTGAACAAAGTAATCAGAGACACTAGAAGAATGTTGTCTAAAATTGAGCCATTGGTCATAAACTTGATCCATGTAGGAAGTAGGCAAATACTTCTCTTTCAATTTATATCTCATTTCAACCCAAGTGATAGGTGATTCTCCTAAGGGGTCTAAGTTTCTTTGGATTGTTTGTCAATACCTCTTTGCGGAACCCTCCAACATCAATTTAGCAAAACAGACACAATGGAAATCCGACATGCTATGCCAATCAAAATATTCTTCTAAATTAGCTAACCAATCCAAGAATTGATTGGGATCTAAAGTGCCACTAAATATAGAAGAATTTTTGACTAGTGTGGTCAAATAGGTTGACTCCATGTAAACATCTCTAGACTTCCTATGATGATGACCTTGACGTGAGACTCTTGAAACATGTGCATTAGAGGAACTCATGAATGACTCTTGAAAGATGAGAATGGTATAAAAACAAGTTCAAGAATGCAATTGATAATTACGAGAAGTGAGAAAACTTAAATAGAAGAAAATATGTTTTGGACCCTTTTCAAATTCTCTAATTTTTCAATGAATAAAAAATATTAGTCTCAAATTTCTATGGGAGTATGTATACCATAATCAAAAGAAAATTCTGAAACTTTTTAAGGATGATTCTATAATTTTTGAAACTTCTGAGGTGATGTTTCTGTAATTTTTTGAATCTGCTGGGAATGTTTTTGCAATTCTGAAACTTCTTAATAGTATTTCTGCAATTTGCTGAAACGTATGAGGGTGATTCTGTAATTTTTTTTAGACCTTTTGAGGATGTTTCTATAATTTTGAATCTTTCTGGGGTATTTTTGTAATTCTTCTAGGGTGTTTTTTTGTTAAACACAAGAGGTAGCAATGAAATCCATCCCGAGTTGATGATAAACAGTGCGCACGAACAACGCGTGAACAGTAACTTTTTTTTTTTCCCTTTTGAAACGAATCGAAATTGGGCTCTTATACCAAATTGACGTAGATCGTAATAATTCTGATGTCAAATTGATTAATTTAAAATAGGGAAAATTTTATCAACCCCCCCTCTAAATAGGTCTATCTTCAATGACACCCCTTTGTTTTTTCTGAAATTTCACTGACCTCCCTTGTCAGTGTTGGTCGGCTAACAGACGTGACGGAAATAGACGTTTTACCATTTTACCCATGAATTTTATAAAGAATTATATATTCACCAATTATTTTTCATTAAACTATATATAAATATATATTCCTATTTCCAAGTGTTATGTGTAGTACTATTAAAATATATATAAATATTATATAGTTTAAGTGTACGGTGTCATCGATTTTTTTTAAAATTTAAAAAAAAAAAATTATTTTGAATTTTTTTTTCTTGTATTATGTTTAAGCATACGACGTCACTGATTTTTTTTAAAAAAAATTCTAAAAAAATTATTTTAATTTTTTTTCTTATATTATGTTTAAGTATAAGGTGTCACCGTTTTTTTTTTTAAATTATTTTAAATTTTTTTCTTGTATTATGTTTAAGCGTATGGTGTCACCGTTTTTTTTTTAAATTATTTTGAATTTTTTCCTTATATTATGTTTAAACGTACAATGTCACCATTTTTTTTTTTAAAAAAAATTTAAAAAAATTATTTTAAATTTTTTCTTTGTATTATGTTTATGCGTACGGTATTACCGGTTTTTTTTTTTTTAAAAAAATATTATTTTGAATTTTTTTCTTCTATTATGTTTAAGCGTACGGTGTCACCGTTTTTTTTTTTTTAATTATTTTGAATTTTTTTCTTATATTATGTTTAAGCGTACGATGTCACTTGGTTTTTTTTAAAAAAAATTTATAAAAAAATTATTTTAAATTTTTTCTTTGTATTATGCTTAAGCGTACGGTGTTACCGGTTATTTTTTTTTTTTTTTAAAGAATTATTTTAAATTTTTTCCTTATATTATGTTTAAGTGTACGATGTTACCAATTTTTTTTCAAAAATTATTTTGAATTTTTTTCTTATATTATGTTTAAGCGTACGGTGTCACTGGTTTTTTTTATTTTTTTTACGGTGTCACCGATTCATAGCACTAAATTTTTTATATTATTTTTCATTAGTTCATGCTAGGACTAGTGACCTGGATTCATTGCCACGTTTTTGCAGTTAAGTGATTGAGTTGTTGAGGCATGTGAGAGAGAGAGAGAGAGAGAGAGAGAGGGATAAGGGTTTCATGTGGAATAAGAAGGGTAAAATTGACATTTCATAAAAAATTTGGTATGATATTAATATTTTTCTGATTGTCAGTAACGGCCGGTTATGGTAAGGGGTATCTTTAATTTAACAGTGTAAACCAGAAGGGAGTGCAATGAAGATTCAAAATGGGGAGGGGGTGTCTTTGAATTTATGCCTAACTAGAGGGGGCATTGATGAAATTTTTCCTTTAAAATATCTATCCAATTCCTACACGACCCCTATCACTCTGCTCGCATAATTTTATGATAACAATGGAAGTGGAAAAGTATGAGTTCTCACCAATTAATAGATTAACTAGTTTGCTATGAGTTTAACTTACATAAGTCAATTTACTTGCCATTTTTTATCCCTCATTTGGTCAAATCTTATGAATAAGCAGAGAATAGGCAATGAGTTACCCACAAATGCAGAGTTAAAGTGGTGTGAAAGCCATTAGCATCCTTTTGTATAGAAGTCTATTTATGGATCTAATTCCTTTCTGCCTTTCCGTTAGCGTCATAGTCATCCTTTCCATCATAGTCATAAATTTTTGTTGGGATTCAGCACCTGAAGGAATTATTGCGTCTTTGAAATGATTTTGTGGACACTTATTAGTATTAAACACCAAACCATTCGGATGCAGAATGACAGATTTACTAGTACAGTGATTTGTTAAATATTTTTCCACTGGTGCATGAGAATGCTTCTTTGGTGGTAAGACAAACGTTGGAATCGACACTGATCGGTAGCTAGGCTGTGAAGGTATTGTATTTATGCTTGTGGGAGATACATGTGTACATGTGTAACTCATCAAGTAACTTGTTCTGAAATTTACTTGCCCCAAAGCAAAAAAGTTGTTCTGAAATGAGGACATTAAATAATGAGGAAGATAATCTTACTATGGTAGAAAATTGAACCAATTCCCTGTAATAGAGCAAACCCTGGGCCTTGCCTCATGATTAATGGGTGTGGTAGGATTGGGTATGCCATAGGTCCATATCTAGCCAAGAAAAGCCCTATGATAAAGCAGTAACCATCTCAATGTGAAATTTCTTTGAAACTTACAATGTTTTAGCATACACACATCCATATAATGATGTATACCAAGAGGAAAGATGAATGTGTTAAGTTTCTTAAGAATTGTATTGTGCAGTAGGGTTGATATATAATTTCAAATATAATGAACAGGAATTGTCATTACCAGGCTAATGGCTATGAATGTTCCTTTTACCCCAATATCGATAAAGGATGAAACATAAGCAACTTTGTATGATATGTGGTGATGGGAAGGAATATTTGTAATGATTATCTGAACCTCAAAATCCATCAAGTTAAATGATAATTGAAGGCGTTTATCATTGATCTGAGCTATATGGTTCAGTGGTTAACTTTCAGCCCATTAGCCTTGAGATTGTACATTTGAACAGTAGCTACGTTGTATAAATAATGTCAAATGTTTGGTCTGCAATCAGTCTACCTCCCAAACCTCCATTACTAGGGACTAAATTGGGGGTTTTATTTTTGAGCTATGTCAACATCGTTTACCAAAAAATTTTAAAAAGGACATTATCTTTTGGCCTTAACTAAATTATATTTGTTCTAGCCACCATGGTCTTGTACATATTGACAATCTAAATTTTTTCTATTTGGCTCTTTCAGACAAAATTAGAGCAGCAAAAATTGTTTATAGCATCTTGACTTTTCTGAAGTTGTTCACACTGCAAATGCACATTCCTTGGAAATCTTTTCAAATTCTATTTTGATGCAGTTGTTCATATGGGAATGAACTCCATTTAAATACCATGAAAAACCTAAATGGTTACATTTTCTTTTGTGGAATAAAAGCTATAAGTTGCAGTTAGTACCTAGGGTCATTTTGTTTTGTGGTTGATATGTGGATAAATGCATCCATGTGTTGCATGCCATCTTATCTGTTTTCATTTGGATTTACAGTTGCTTGATACCGGTTTCTTCCATGCCGATCCACATCCGGGGAATTTGATCCGCACACCAGATGGGAAGCTGGCTATACTTGATTTTGGTAAAATTTACTTGGTTTTACATTACAATGTAAAGGATCACCTTTTCACATTTTTGTTTGAAGTAATTTTATGCAATCTTGTTTCAAATTGTTGATTTCCTATACGACTTGTGTTTTTTTGTTTAAAGTATATTGGATAGAATTCTAGCAAAACTTTTTACTCTAAAGTTGTGATGTGGTAGGCCTCACATGGTTAGTACTTTGGAAGGCTCATTTAAGAATACAAGCCCCATACACTCATTTGTTCCTTTTCAATATGCCTATGAAGTTGTTGAAGATGAAAGATATAGTGATGTGGGATTTGCTTTTTGAGGATGGAGGCGAAGAAAAGCTAGACCATTTGGTGAGTTAGGAGGTGGTACCTCGTTCTGGGATTAAGAGTGGATTTTCTTTGGGCAATTTAAAAGCTTTGAATATTCCTTACCAGGAAAATTGTTATTGAAATTCCCCATGGAGCAAAATAGTTTGCGGCATTTGGGATTAAAAGAAAATATAGGATTCAAGAAAATGGGTGGAATACTGATGTGAGTGAGAGGGGTTATTCTCATTGTCTTTGAAAATTCATTTCTATAAGCTTATTCTCTTTCCAAGGATTTTAATTTATTTGCGCTAAAGGGGGATAAAATTTGGTTTTAGGAGGATGCAGGAGGGATTGGGTTATATTGCTTCTCTGTTTCCCCGGTTGTGTTACTTTTTTCGTTCTCATAATTCATCTATTGCTAGTATCACATCATCTTTATCCTTCTCATTTGTTGGAATTTCAACTTCTTTAGAAACTTGAATGATAGGGATATTGCTGAGTCATCTTCTCTTTTATGGATTCCTAATAATCTAGCTTTGAGTCAGTTTTCTAGTGATAAAGGAGATGGATCATTTCCTTTCCTAGAGTCTTTGATTCATATTTCAATTGTTCCAATTTTGAGCCACCATACCTGATTTGGAAGTCCAAGGCATCATTAAGGATATGATGAAAAAAGGAGGCCATCTACTTATCTCCATCCTCAGTGGTGTATCCTTTGCAAAAGTACTAGGAGTGTATTTATCATTGGTTCTTACATTGCCCGTTGCTTTTGATTTTGTGGAACAAATTGATGATCGTGTGATTTCCATTGGTGATTGACAGTTTTGTGAATCAATTTTTAAACTTGGCTGGGGAGTTTTGGAATGAGTAAGAGAACCAAGGCCCTATGGAGGTGTGTCGCTTTGACAATGATGTGGATGGTATGGTTCCAAAGGAATAGGAGGATATTTGACAATAAAGAGCTTTCATTGAAGAATTATAATGTCATTCTTGGCATCTTTCTGAACGTCAACTTCAAAGATTTTGAAAGCATTTCTTTATTTTTCATAAAGTATAACTGGGTGCAGCTGCATGAAAGTGGTATGTCGTATTGTAATTTTTCAATTGGTTTTCTTTTATGAATTGTACTTCTAGAAGACTGCTTGTCCTTTTTCGTATTCCCTTTTTTATTTGTAATATCTTTGGTTTTCTATACCAAAAGGAAGGGCCCTTCCATGTGGAGCTATGTGGAGTTGATACGTTGCAGTGAGCCTTCAATGCCTGACTATATATTGCGTTCTGTAGGTGTGTAAATCTGAGTAATTTAGTAGTTGTACGATGTAAATGAAACATAGGTTGGCCACCTCAAACCTTCCTTCTTGGATTGCCCACCTCAAACACTGGTTCTAATCTACAAAGAACATGTGTTGACGTGTTTTTGCTTAAGTTTATTTGTGCACTTGCACTTAATGGGTTTGAATTCTGTTTAGTTGGTGCACCAATTGTTTGTCCGCCCCTCACTTGTGAATGGTGTTCACACATGGGTGTGAGAGCTCAACACAAGTTGTTCAGCCATTTTGTGTTGTTGTCTAACATACGACTTTTCTCTACTGCTTTTTATTGCCATTAAAAATTATCTATGTAATGCATGTTGTTAATCAGAGCTCTTATTTTCCTCTGATCTCTTAATAATAGCCTTTGATATTCTAAATTAATATAATGAATACAAAGGCTTCTTCATCATATGTTGGACTCTGTGACTCTACAAATAATCTGGTATATTCTAAACTATGGTTCTATGGTGACAGGCCTGGTCACGAAATTAACAGATGATCAGAAATATGGAATGATTGAAGCCATAGCTCACCTTATTCATCGGGATTATGGAGCTATAGTCAAAGATTTTGTCAAACTTGGTTTCATTCCAGAAGGGGTTAATCTGGAGCCCATCTTGCCTGTTCTGGCCAAGGTTTTTGATCAGGCACTAGAAGGTGGGGGAGCAAAAAATATCAACTTCCAGGACCTCGCATCTGATTTGGCACAAATAACATTTGATTATCCATTTAGGATACCCCCTTATTTTGCTCTAATAATTAGAGCAATAGGGGTGTTGGAAGGCATAGCTCTTGTTGGAAATCCTGATTTTGCAATTGTAGATGAAGCTTATCCATATATTGCACAGGTATGGAAATACTGTGCTATTTCTATGTTCATCGAACATTTATCCAGCCTTATATCATCAACATGCATGCATGCTATTGAGTCTACCCAGATCATCCATGTGGGTATTCCAATTCTATACTGACTGTTGGAACAAGAGCAGGGTATGATTTGATAGTTTGATTAGGAACTGTGTTGCTTTGGCATAACGAAAATAACTCGTGTAAGCTGTAAATCAAAACCAGCAAATATTTGAACTCATTAACCTATTTTCCTATCAGATATTTTGGTATGGGTACCTGAATTTTTGCATTAGCAACAACTAAATTGTCTTGCTAACAATTTGAAAGAATCTGTTCATCAAACTTGTCGAAAAAAATTCCGGAAATATTCTATATCAGTTTGATAAATGTTATAAAATCTTGAGGTTAATTAGAATTGCCACTGTTTTCATTAATTTCTTAGAGCTTGTTTGACCTTTAATTATTTTTTTTTACTGTTTTATTGTTTTTTGGAACTTTTTTTTCAAGGGCAGCTAGTGTATCTTTTACAAAGGTGGGGGTATTGTTTTGTGCCTTGAAACTGCAATATCATATAACTTTTTGCCTACATTTTTGAATCAGTTGTTCATTTAGACTGCATTTAATTTAACTGGCAATATGTCCTATTATTTTACCTCTGCAATTCATAAACTCCACATTGATGTGAATTGAAGGTTTTGTTTTGTTTAATTTCAGAGGCTTCTGACGGATGAATCCCCACGACTAAGGAATGCATTACGTTACACGATATATGGGAAAACTGGAGTTTTTGATGCTGAAAGATTCATAGATGTCATGCAAGCCTTTGAGAATTTCATAACGGCAGCTAAAAGTGGAGGTGGAGAGGATCTAAATGGGAAAATGGCTGAGCTTGGCATTCTACAAACTCGAGCAAATTATATGTTTCCTGCATTTTTATCAGGTGCACCTCAAGTGGAGCAGCCGATTCAAACTAGAGCTGCATTAGCCTTTCTGCTTTCTGAAAAGGGGAACTTTTTTCGAGAGTTTCTCTTGGACGAGGTACTTGGAATATAGTTTTGTTGAGTTTCACTCTGATGTGGTACTTCTAAAGTAGTTTTGACAATAATTTCATTGCAGTGTTGTTGATCATTGTATCTAATCCGTAGCAACTCTGCCCAGCATTAATTAAATTCACATTTAAATCTAAGTCTACATGTTCTACATTATTACATCGATCTTACGCATATTATCAGTGTTGATGTTGTTGTCATAATTGGTATTGGCCAAGCGCAAATGCAAGTAATCACATATTTGCATCTGAATGAAGATGTGCTGCTAGTCTACATATGAATGATAATCGACTTTAATGCTATTATCTTTTCTTCGTCTTTTGCGCAAAAATAGAAATATTAATAACCAAAGAGTTGCCGGAGACATACATACTACAAGAGAAAAAATATACTACACACAATAAATGCATGGGTTTTTTTTATACATCAGTTACTAATTACTTGATTATTTTGAACATTGTTGACTCTTCATTGCCAGAGGCTCAGCATTAGAAAAAAAGAACACTATTAGATTAAAGAATTTGTTTTGAATCAGAAGTTAATACCCTAGTAAGAATTGTTCATGCGGGAACTTTTGTGTTGTTTCAATTTTATTAAATGCCTCACTGGTGAGACCAGAGTTTGTTTGCAATACTTTTAGTCCAATAAGGTTAACTTTGTCTTGACATGTATGCAGATTGTTAAGGGCATTGATGCTGTTACAAGGGAGCAATTAGTGCAAATGATGGCAGTTTTAGGGATAGGAAATTTCACCCCACTTTTCAGCATGGTTCCTTCTTTGGGACCAATTAGGCCTGCAGGATTTCTACCCACAATAACAGAGGAAGATAAAGTTATATTGAACAATGTTCAGAAAGTCATTGAGTTCTTAACTGCTGGAAGTTCAACATCATCCAGTCAGGTAAATTTTTTGTGGATGGGGATCTTTTCCCATAAATAAATTTAAGTAGGCCAAATAAAATCGAGTTGTGTTGAGAGGGGGTGTTTACCGGACCTAATCTTGGCTATCTACTGAATTGATTCTTATCCTTTCAAACTGCAATAACACGTCCTGTATAGTAGAAAAATATGCACTTCTGATGAGATATTCGCCATTTCTGTATATTCACATTAAAGACTACATCTGTGTATAGTTGCTTTTACATCTACCAGTGAGGTATGGATATGATATATTTTGCTGAATGTTCCTGTATTTATTGTTTTGTTAGTGCTTTAATTTCATTCCCATCGTTTCCATTCAATGTGAGTTAGTATATACGCCTTAAGTATACTTGAATCACTTGTTATTTGTGGGTTAGGATGGTGGGTTCTGCATATATTCTTCAGTTTTCTGAATACTAACATAATTCTTTGTCATCTCTAGCATTTGGAAATTGTCTTCACTTGTAACATCCTTGAATTTATAAGGAAAATATCACTCAGAACCATAAAAAATCGGCATGTACACCATTTTGAAGGGAAAGCCATTCCAAAAATGTGGAAATACATTTGGGATGTGTGTAATATGTTTGCTATGTCAGTGAACATAAATGTGGTTGCAAGTTTGAAGGGAATTAGCTAGACCATCAATGTGCAATTGGGGGTGCATATGATGGCACGTGCCTACATAACTTGTGTATGGCTTTATGTAATTATAGCAATAAGTTGTTTTTATCTTTCTGATCAAGGGTATACTGATATTTATGGCCATAAGTTGTTATTTTCCACTAATTGGATCTAATCTAAATCACCCTCATCAATTCTTTTTTGTCAATATTAATTTTTTGATTATTTTTGGGACAATGATTTTCATAGTTGTGTTCATAATTTTAATTTTCTTTCATTCCTAATCATCATGGCAGTTTCCACTAATAGTGATGCTTAAAGGTGGTATTTGTAGAAAGGCTTGTGGATGTCAAATGCCTTGCAAAACGATGCTTAGTTAGAAACAGAACCACTAGTGCTTTTTATTGTCTGAGACTGTTACAAACTATAGCTAGAATCCTCCTTCTGTTTGACTATTGGTTATTTTCAAGTATTCGTGCTGCAAAATTCTTGTTTCCAGTAAAAGTTTTGAAGGTTCTTGAAACAACTGCCAGCTCTGTGTAGTGCTTAGAAGTGAGGTATCTAATGGACAATAGGAGGATACCTTGTGGTGGTGTAACAAAGAAATTTCATTTTATTTGAATGGTCTGACCCCCCTCTCCCCAACAAAGGAAAAGCAAAGAAGAGGTGGATGGCTTCATTGGGAAGTCCTTCAGTGTTTGTCCAACTTATAGAAGAATGTCGATTTTCTTAGAATTGGAGATGTGCTGCCTCATAGAGAATGACTGGTGAATGTAAATCAAAGCCTAACTTTATGAATGATCAGAATCAATTTGATGGTGGAATGCACACTGCTATTTCATTTCAATTGGCTGTAATAGTACATATGAACTGTGAAGAATCTGTTGTGAATGTGTTATGAAGCTGGTTCAGTGTGGAAGTATTCTAATCTTAGATTTATGTTCTTCCTTCCAATCTACAGGGTGTGAATGTTCCTCGGGTAATCCAAGAGCTTCTTCCTGTGATGCCTGGCCTTTCTGCCACTGTGCTTCCTGAGGTCCTCAATCGGTTATCCTCACGAGTAGTGGCACGATTAATCCGGGATACATTTTTGTAATATGGTTGCTGTAACCTTGCTGCTCAAAACCTCTTACTTGGGCATATGTTGGCCAAAGAAAAGTATAGAAATCATACATAATGTTCAATGATTTCCTGTAATTCATTTGGGTTTAGGTGGCTCCTATATCCCCAGTTATTTCCCCTGTTAGTAAATTCCTATCTCATTGCTCCGTAGACACTGACTAATACAAAACCTAGGTCTTGTATATGATGCTGTAAACTCTGACCAAACAAATATAGAGTTGGAGAGAGAAAATAATAGAAAAGCTAACAATGGTCTCTTACAATTCCATGCCAACTTTTATGCTTTGGTTCCATTGGTCACTGAGGAAGATTTGGACGAGGCATTGATTGTTTGTACATTGTTGAGATTCTATGTAATGTAGTTTTTTCTATTTACTAGTTAGAATTTTTACTGTCCTATTCTACTTAAAAGTGCCAAGTGTTTCTTGTCCTTGCCCTTCTGCAGATGAAAAATGGAATCTGTTGTCTATGATGATTGGGATCATATTTGCTTGATAATAATTACAAAAAGTAAACATTTTACACCATGACAAGATTTACTACACCCCCATGACAAAAATGTTAGTTTTGTTATGTGAATCCAAGGTATGACTTGCAGACTCGGTGCATTCAAATCATAGATCTGTTTTGCCAGCAATTTTAGACTACAAAATAAACTTTCTTAATGGTGTTGCTGTGCTGTGCAGAATTCCATACCTGTTGTACCATGGGTACAAGAAAACTTTACACAAGAAGTGGGGCGGATATACGGGGGGAAGTCTTCGTCTGCTTTGTCGAGCTCTGAAACCTGACTTCGTGTATTCCTTTGCCGCCCCTCTTGACATAGTAAAAATTTTGAAATAATCTATGTGGGTGGTGAGCTTATATAGTTTGGGGTATTCGTAATTAACACAGTAAGGTCTGGACAAAATGTAGTAATCTGTTATGTGTTTTGTATCTCTTTAGTCTTCATTAGGGGCAATTCATGCCTTCAGAGATAGTGTAATGTGAATGGTTTTGAGAGGAATATTGGTAGTCGTTAAATGAGTTTATTTAAAACTGTCGTATGGGCTTATTGAAATTTGTTCTGTTTTATATTATAGATTTTCTGTGTTAAAATGATGGTTTAAATTGCCAAACCAAAGAGACAAATTTAAATTTGAAACTTGAAGAATCTAAAACTTGAGGGATAAACTGATCGTCAAATTTGGTTATGTCAGTTTTTTTTTTTTGAAAACCTAGGAACCCCCACCAACTAAGTCAATTTGGACCTATGGTCGGCAATCAACCTGAGCTCACATACACAATTTCCTCTCCACGTGCCAAAGTTAAATTTAGAGGAGGTGGCTATAAAGAGCATTTTTACATTATGAAATATCAAACCCTTGAGCAATATTAATTTTAAGGCACCTATTAAGTGACCGACTATCACTTGAGCTAAACCCTTAAAATTAGTTATCTAAGTTTAAATTGTGTTGTCTGTTGGAATAAAGTGATACAAATTAGAAGTTTAAGAATTAAAATAATACAATTAAAAGAGTGAGAACTACGTGCAATCTCAATGGCTGAGTCCCCTAGAGCCAGGAAAAAAGGCATGTATAAATACCAGACATTCATTTTGAGATCCAACCCTAGAGGCAATTAGGGAGCTTTACTATAGTTTGGTAAGCGTGAAATGGTGGAAAGAACAAGAAAGAGAAAATCTTCGACTTTTTATATGATTATTTAGCAGAAGACGACGTGTTCAAAACTGTAAAAAATAAGGGAATATCCTACCAAATTTTCCCTTAAATGACTTAATTTGAGTCCTACAAAATGTATACAAAAATATCTTTTTCCTCCAGGAATGTCATATAGTCATCTCAATTCCCATTTTGTTCATGGTTCCTGGCACAACTTCTAATCCTTGTCATCTCACAAAACCCGCTTCAAACGATCAAAATTAGGGGTGATAATTTTTTATACAACACAAAAATATGACATAAAATCAACAAATTAGGGTTAGAATATTTCTTAACACGAATGATAAATGAATTATGTTAATATTAAATAGGAATAACACGAAATGTATATAATTAACACCTTTAAGTAGTATTATAAAAATAAAATGTCAATTTTTTATTATATTTGATCAAGTAGTGACCTAATTTTACTTATTTTTATTATTATATTTATTAAGTTAATTTTTTAGTTTATAAAAAAAATATGAACATAACCATAAAAAAAAAAAAAAAGAAAAAATATGAACATAATTCGATTAAATGATAATAAAATTTTAGACATAAAATTGAGTGTTAGATTTTTTATTCACGGGTTATATTGATCAACACAAATACGACACGAAAATAAATAAATCGATACAACACGACACGATTAATTAAACGGGTTAAATTAGAGTTGATTATTGTCCAACACGAACCCAAAATAACACGACTGCCACCCCTACAACCCATCTAAAAAACACTACTTAGCTAACCCAAAAACAAATATCAACTCCGGAAGGAAATTGAATCCCTGCCTCAAGAATAGCAAGCTAATTCCAGCTCCAAAGCATCAAAACGCCTAGGCCAAGGTTTGTAAGCTAATTCCAGCTTAAAGCACCAAAACACATAGGCCAAAGTCCAACACAAGCTAAAGCTAATCAAGATAACATAATCATCATCACAAACTCTCTTAATCTTGAAAACCCATTACTTACATCAGAAACCCACATTGAAAAATATACCAAAACAACTGTCGTGACTCTAGAAAGAGAGAACAAAACCCCAAAATCTCTAGTCTCAAGAACCCAAAAATGCAACAGTAAGAAAATTGACAACAAAAAAAGCACTAGAAGAGTAAATAGGTGGAGAGTTTAGTGGGGATTCAGGAGTAGTGAAATTTGATAAATTAGGCGGTATTAGGTAGGAAGACAAGGTTGGTCAAAAAAAGTAATCTAGATAATCACGATTTTTAGCTACAACATTCTTTCATATGTTTTTCATCCTAACCATATACCTGCAGGAAAATGTTTAATAGAATCACAAAACAACCCAACCCAAACATCACCTCAAAAGGGCCTAGCTCCTGAAGCCTAGTGATGGAGACTTAAAAACACTTCAGTATCTGCTTGCCGTGTTGATGTGGCGCAAGCAAAATGTTACTTTTTACTATAGCAAACTGGGGAAGGGAAAACGGAAGACTTCATTTGACATTTATAACGTCAAAACTCTCTCATTTCGAGGGCTCATGTGAATGGAGATACAAAGGCTAGGGACAGAGAAGAAAACAAACAACAATAAATCTGGATCCTAAATGCCAGAATTTGCTACCACCAAGTCCCCGGGTATGGCTCTTGCCATATATACATGTCATGGATTCGAAATACATTTATCTTACGAGAAAACTGGCAATCTCTGCTCGCCTGAAGCAAAAGAGATGATACTCCTTTTGAGCGGGGAGATATAGTGTGCCCCATGGAATGCAACCGCTCGTAATATATTTAGCGGTCCAAAATCAACAGAGTATGCCTTCTGAAAACCATCCAGAACAGCCATCATTGTCACATTTGCAAGTTTCCTATCTGCTTCATATTTCTTTAATAGCGATACCTGCAAAAAATGAAGCAGACTTTCCATTGAGCGATAAATAATTAACTGAAGAACAAGAGCAGCCGGCATATGGACACATTTTTTCAAGTGAAATTTTAAATGAAAATCTTACACAGTTACACCAGATGACATGCAGATGATGCAAGTGCAATGTATTCAGATTCTAACATTGACACAATTCATTAGAATTCTTACAACACACACCAAATCGATTCCTTTTACCTCTATCTTGATATCTGTTTAGCCATCCTGATCTTAGTATATGGATTATGGGTTCCCCAAATGGCAAGTATGGATAAGGAAATTACAGCATTTAGGTGCTGCTTGTCAATTTTTGAGTCCACCAAGTTACCAGCAGCAGCAATTTAGTGGAAGACCATAAAGATTCTAAACTGTCCATGTTACTCAACATTTTATGGCTCAACAGCTAAAGAAATTTTAAGCAAAAGACAATCATCACAAGTCTTCTTTCTCCACCCCCAAAAAAAAAAACAAAGGTTTGCAGCCCTTGTATTGTTTGACCACATTATTCCAAGTTCAAAGTATCGGAAGTGGACTCGGAGGGCATTGAGACATATCAGTTGCATCATAGTGGAATGGTGCCAGGCAATACAAATGAAGTTGGACTTGACGAGTGTTTCAGGGCTTATCTTGGTGCCCTTGAACAATATCACCTTGTTGCAGAATGATGACTCAAATAACTTGGCTAAGTCATCCAAGATGCTTCTGAGTCAACAGCAAGGCAAGTAAGACTTGGGGTTTACACAAAACCTGTATCAGCCTCAGAATAGAAAATACTAAGTTGGATATGACTCGACCGAGACATGTTACGATCAGCTGATCCTCGGAACCATGTTATCTCTTGTTGCACTATGCTAAAAGGTCATTCTCTAGTTTTGTTCCCAGATATGCAGAGTGCTAGAAAAGGTAGGCTAGACATAGACCCAATTTAGGGAATTTTTTGCACAAACTGCTACTCTTTGATACAAATCCAAGTTATCACTCTTAGCCCGAGCATCCTGCCACTAAACTAATAAATAACCTGTATTCTGATCATTATTCTAGCAATGGGTGCATGCCAAACACCCTGGTATGAAAGCCAAGGAGCTTTTGAGTCAGGAAAAATAAGAGTTTATTTTCTTGGCATCTAGTTTTTCTTTGAGAAAGAACGGTGGGCATTATCACAATTAACACTAGCTGGTGCTAAAATTGGCTTCCTTTTCTTTTATGTTATTAACTAACCTTCTGAATTATGTAAACTTTTTCTCTTATATTGCTAAGTTGGATGGCTTTAAAGATGCTTGCCTTAGGACAATGGTCATTTGTTTACTGGTTATAAGGTGAGAATCTAAAAATGGCCGTTGGAACTTACATGATCTGAGAAGTTCTAGAAATCAGCAGATAACACCAATATATAGTTTTCTGCATCATGGAAAATCACCGATACAAAGATGGATTCTTGTGTCATGTATTCTTCTCGACCTTACGTTCCAGAGTATATACATACACAAAATGGAAAGATTCCCTCACAAGATGGTCTGCTGACGATTTTATTTGGTTCAAGAATCTCTTTGAATGGACAACAATGAGGTATAATATCTTTGAATTTAATTATCACATGGCAGGATCAGTTGATAAATTCCATAACGTGCATTATTTCAGAATTCTTACAGCACATAATTCTGAACAATGATTAATTAATTGTTTGTTCAATTCTTTTGTGTGCGTCAATCAGGAGTGCATGAGCTATTTCCACTTCCTATTAAGAAAATTTAAAATTGGATCACAGATCTTGGTTTGCTTGGCTGAATCAGGAAGGAAACAAGACCCCACAACAATATATGTTCCTTTTCCATAGAAGCACAGAGGAGAGGAAAATAAGGCTAGCTCTTCATGAAAATTATTCCAGGTAATTGGGTTGTCAGTTTAATTTGCCAGATAGCTTCTACTGCAGATCATATTTTTCAATTATATACTGATGATTACTCTCCCACTCTCTTTATCAATTATCAGTATCTTCCAACACTTCCATGTCTGACCTATCTCCTATAAAACAATATGAAAAGCTGTCTCTACAGTTGATTCATCAGACAGATCCCAATACCTTCAAGATTATGATTCCTATCAGAATATGAAAAATTTAGTAACCTATCAGTATCTTCCAGAAAAGTATCACACTTTTCTGCCTGGATTTCAAGTTGCCAACACACACAGGCTTCAAAATAATACTGCCTAAAGTACATAAGAGTAGAATTATGACGGGCCATGTTTTCTTGACTTTCAACTGTTGTATGATTAAGAATGCATCTCTAATTGAGGTTCATATGACTTCCCAATATTAAGTTTGGGCAAATTAGCAAGTCAAAATTATTTTCCATGATATGGGGCACAGTGACAAAGAAATTAAAGAGAACCCAAGTTATATAACAACTCTGTAGAATTGAGGAAAAGAAAGAAAGTCATGAATGTGTACCTCCCCAATGTCAGATCCTACAGCAACACCTTCAGCAATGACTCTTGAAAGAGAAAATGCATCGCCAAAACCCATATTAACACCTTGACCAGCCAAAGGATGAACAGTGTGTGCAGCATCACCAATAAGAACCACACGCTTTGTCGCATAACAATTAGCATGCATTAAAGACAATGGAAACACCATTCTATCTGATGCCAATTTGACTACTTTTGGTGGAACCTCAAACCATTCATTCGCCGAAGAGGCCACATCTCCTCCGAGCCAAGAAAATATACTTCCACCACCAGATAATTGTGACTGAGGATTAGGTCCGTATCCATAATCCAAAGCATGGTTTATTGTTTTCACAAAATCATATTCATTCATTGATTTAAATTCTGATGACTCCTTGGGCTTCATAGTCCAAACTATGTTGCTGAACTTGTCACCCACTGGCAAAAGTGCAATCGGACCAGCAGGTAGAAATCGTTGCCATGCACATCTGTTTTCCTCCATATGTTCTACTGTGCAGATGATTGCATCCTGAGAGTACTTCCAACCAGTCGTCTTGATACTTGCCAACTCCCGAACACGCGACTTAGATCCATCAGCTCCAACCTGTGATAAATAACATTGAACCTGATACTCCTTAATATTTTTCTAGATGATAAGAAAGTCCAAAAGTTCATACCAAAAAGGGGCAGGATATAGCTTTAGCTTCTGTCAACCTTCTCTTTTTCTTTAAGCAAATATATATATATATATATATATTTTTTTTTCTGCTTGTAAAATAATATATGCCAAAATTATATTGAAATTACCACCAACTTAGCATACAAGCTACTGCCATTGCTTAGTTCCAGCTTTGCTATACTTCCATGAGCATTCAATGTTCCCGATGATGTGCAATCTAATCCCGCTGATGATGAGCTTTGATGCAGAGTCATTGAAGTTAATCTGGAAGGATAAATAGTCTTCTGGAAATCTGCGTGCTGTCCATATTTTCAATTTCTTTGGTAAAACTATATCGAGACCAATGACAAATTGCAATCACAACTGTGGCAGAATTACAGATTGATTTATTGCAACTGTAAGTGGCGAAATATCAAGGCCAACTAAATGTATACATACCTCTTGTTATGCAAGAAAACAAAAACCATTACTTTTAGATATGCACAGGTTTTGATGTTGACAACTATTATACTCAGAAACACGGAAACTGCCCACACTTTAGGCAGGAAACTGAATCTATTTTTTCCCCTCAATTTTAAGGCATCAACTTTAGAAAAGGCTAAACAAAAACAATCTGAACAGGTTCAAGCATTTGGACAATGCAGGAAACTCCATATTTCATCATCTAGCTTTCAAGAAACAGAGATATAAAAGGTTCCCAATGGCTTAAGTACCTGCACACATGACAACAGAGATTTGTGAAGCACCTTATTCTCCACCACACACCTGAATCAAAAGACCAAAGTAGGATCCGCGACCATCAATAGCTGTATGTTCTTGAAGAGAGAATTGGTTATCCTGCTAATTGAATACTTACCCTAGTGCTTCTTTGTTCACATCCCTCGCATTGTATCTTGTGTATCCAAGGCCAGTGTAATCCCAAACCTACATGGGAAACATAGCACATTTCATAAGTCTTCATTTAAGAGCGAGTGAAACATAGCACTAGCCACACATATATAAAGAGAATTTAACAATTGGAATTTTATAGCAGAAATAAACACGAAATGGAGTCTAGACGTGAAGGAGGAAATGAGTCTTGTCCACAATTCCACTGGAGAACAAAGACAAAACAAAAGTTACTAAGTCACCCCAGTAAAACTGTATTATGTTCTGCTTTAAACTTATATTGAAAACAATTAGAGAATTTTTCAGACTTGTTGAATATAACAAGAATCTTTAAAGATGTTGCATGCTTCAATTTCCAACCCATGTTTTTAACAATTCATGTTTTTACATTTCTTATATTCATGGCTGCCTGTTAACAAGTTCAAGATAACTTCTTTCTTTCGGTCTTTTTCTCTCTTCATGGGGGGTGTATACGACCACTTTCATTCAAAAGCTTTATCATTAAAAAGGGGTTGTCTAATGTATTTCAGCTTTATCCCTCACTAATGGCCCATTCATATTTGCACAAATTTTAGGTTACCATGGAGGAAACATGATTCAAAGGTCAGACCTTAATGCTCTGACGCCACATTTGTGACCACTTGCTCTTTAGATGTAAGAGAGACTTCACGGTATTCAATGGTTTCAACTTTACCAATACAACGAAAACATGAATATTATAGCACTGTGTAAATTATCAACAAGAATAGGCCTCTCAGACGCAAAACAACAACGCTAACATGGAACAACATCCGGAATTAGTGGGGTTGTTATACAGTCACCATTTGTCAGCACAGCCTATGTAAAGCATGTAGTTTCAACTATGTAACCTATTCCCTATGCAGTTGTGGACATTATTCTCACAATAACCCTTCCAAACATGCTTTCCTGGCTATATTTTAATATTGGTGGTCCTCCTGCATCTCTCCTACTTACCTTTTCCCCCTGCTCTTCTCCTTCACCATTGTCAAATTTTCAATTGCTTAAAAGTGTCGCCTAAGGCTAAAGTGCTTCCATTTAGCAAAATTTCTGAGAATACTGTGCATGAAGTAGCTTGTAAGCTCCACCATCAATAAATCCATCAAGCATGAACAATAATGCTATACACGTTATGGGAGATCTACATGAACAGCATACACATCCTTACTCTAATTCTGACAATAACCTTATGTTGGCATCTCTCCGGTAGACACTTCAAGAATTTTCATTATTTTAGGCTCAAGTATTATTTCATGTAGGTTGAAGAGTGAATTAATTACGTCACCAAGTTTAGAAAAAACCTTAGAGAAGGTTTCATGATCATCCATCATAGTTCTTTTAAGTCTCTAGGTGAGCATCTGGAGTTTAGAGATTCTAATTGTGTAGGTACCTTTAGGGGTCCCTTGCAAAATGTCTTATGCTTGGAAGTTTTGCAATATTTCAAAAACCTTTAGGAGTGAGAACACTAAATATAGCATTGATTCCCTTGGTTTTCCAAATGTTTCCCTCAAGATCTTCCCTTGTACAATGTTTTTTTCCCGGTTTGGTTCTCCATGTAAAAACCCACTTGTCTTGGATTATTTTGAGATTGAATTGTTATGGTTGCTCTAAAAATATTGAGGCATATCATTTATATATTGATCATAGGGTGGTTAGACGATCAATCCTATTGATATTGTATGCAATTTTAATTTGACTGCTAATATTGGATCATTGTGCTTGGGTTGAAATATTTCATGTTTTTATATTGGAAAGCGTAAAATCTAGGAGAGCATCCCTCCTTTCAATTGGTACCAGAGCAGTTTTATGGTTTGTTACATTCGCTTCCATTGACACATTAGTGTTACCCCCACAAATGTCTAGATTTGAGACCTTCCCTCCGAGGTCACCACTTCGGCTGTAAAATATCAATTGAAACCGAATTACTTCCTTAAGACCTCATAAGTTTTTCTGAAATTTCATGGTGAAAACAATCAATAAACAGCGACTCCTATGAAACAAATCCCCAAAAAAGTTCAGAAACAAGTACACATCCAATGATCAAGGTTGTTTCGTGGTAATATAATAAGCATAGTGATATTGTTCCACTAGTTGAGACTTTGAATTTGATTGTTAGCATGCTCCATACATAAAGGACACAAACTTTCTCATAAGGGGTAGGAAAGATAGTCTTCCGTCTTCCTACCCAATACTTTGTGGAAGAATTTTTTCTTGACCTACCCTATCCGATTAAGTGTGGTATTCCTACCCGACTTCTGGCCAAATTAATCGGGTAGTAAGTCGGGTAGGAAATCAGGTGAACACTTTTGTAGTTTTTATTTTTTGGATCATTTTAACAATTCAATTAAATAACATGCACCAATTTAACAACACAATAAACAAATAACACTAAAATCTAAAACAATTACAACAACAATTACAATAAAACATAAGAAAGTATAAACATCAATCCATCATAATTGTTGCACAAATACAATAAAAATTATTTTAAATTTAAATCATATGGTTAGGGAATTAGGATTTTTAGTTTATATATATATATAAATTAATGCGGGCAGGGCAGGGTAGAAATACGAAAATTAATGGCTATTCTGCATTCTTACCCGATTTAATCGGAAAACCAAAAACTCTTCCATATTCCCACCCGATTTTTTCGGCTAGCCGTTTAATAGGGTTGGGTAGGGTAGGAAACTGTGAGTTAATCGGAAATTTGAACACCCCTACTCATAAAACATAATCAAACTGCTTTGGGAAGATTCTTTCCAACAATTACCTAGACAACTGAAATTTTTAAATTTAAGAACAACAACCATTACCTGCATCCTATCAAAATAAGCATGTCGATGCTGTTCAACATATTGCCAAGCGCCAACATCTACAAAGTAGAACTGTCACTGTTACATGATCAGACATAACAAAATATTACTTCTCATCTTTTTCAGAAAATATATACTCTGCTTCCAGGCATACTGGGTAACTCTCGGGGAGGAAACTACTATATTTATACAGCTACGTGTATTCATGTCCTGCAAGTATATGGGTGTGTATACATGTATATATACAGATATATAATATATATTATACAGAGAGAGAGAAAAGAATTCCGAGTGTGCTTAACCTCATCACTCCTACTGAAACTCTCAATATTGGATTTTATTTGCAGTGTAGGCATGTAGCCTCATCACTTTTAAACTTCAATGACCTATTCCCTTTATAGATCATTCATGTCATCCTGTGTATTTTTTGCAAATGGGTTGTCAAATGTAGAAATACAGTGTGTGTGCGAGTGAGAGCTAATTTGCATGTGCTCTGTGTGGGTGGGTGTGAGAGAGAGGAGAAAGATGGATAGGAGTAGTAGGAAGTTGTTTGGGTGTGGGGTTGATTTGGTTCAATTACTGGATAAGGGTGTCTAAATAAGAAACAAGAGTTGTTTGGTGGAAAAAAAGTCATTTTTGTCTGAACCGTTAACAGTGTTAACCTATATTACTTGTTAATATCAACTAATTGAAAATATAATCAATTTCCTGTTCCAGGATATAAACAATTATATTCTTCCATGTCTACTGATCATATTTTTGATTTCTCAAATTTAACCTCTGAATGTTATAAAGCCAATCAGATCATAACCTCCTATGTTCAATAGACCTCTAAGCTCAGCTTAGTACTAGTCTCCTCAATAATTTCACTTTTTCCTCCCAAATCTTGTTTGAATACAAATTTCAGCTATGGGCTAGCCCTCCTCACCAATTTCAAGTATTAACACCAATAATATTATCAGCAATCTAAGAATCACTAAGATGATTTTGGTTTCCATAGCATTGAATATCTGAAATGCAAGCTACTCATCATTACTGAGGAGTCTATATCGAAAGCTTCAAAAGATCAGAACCAAAAATCATAGAACAATCAATAAGTCGTTATCAAAACTTTAAGATGGGATAACCTCTATTACAAGAAAAAGAGATGAAAACTCCAGATACATAAAGAGATGATTTTTTTCAGCAGTGGGCCCAGAAATCACAAAACCACATCTAGAAACATTTTATCAAGATAATACTATGTAGAACAATAAACCTACAAATCCTGCATGCAGCAACTAATATTTTAAAACTTTAGTGAGGTACTGTTTTAGGTACTGTTTCCTATTTTGTTATAACAGGTACTATGGAATTAGCCCGATAAGCACAAAGAAAATAAAATGAAATAATTGTTTTTCAGATAAATTAGATTATTTAGCTGAGCACAATATGAAACAATGCCAAAAGACATCAAAATCAATACCTTTGAAAAGAGAGAGGGTTGCAGGAGTGATTGTACTGACCCTTGGATCAGGAGGATCTTCTTTGTTGATTGAACGCCCACTCATTAAAGCAGGATTGCTGTCAATGATTGCAAGACTTAACTGCTTCGTTAGGGGCATGCTTGCTGCAAACACATGGAAATTAACAAAATATACAAACTAGTTACTCGGTATGTAACATATGGAGGAAGGTTACTCTCGCGTCTTTTCAATTAGGGGTGAAAGCCCCATGCCATGATGGTTTTAATGGATTATTTCATAAAAATCTTAGAATAACTGTTGTCCAGATATTTTTCTAACAATTTCCAGGTACTTTTGTTTGGGTTTCTTGTTAAAAAGTCAACCAAAACAACGTTGTTCTCATTCCAAAAGTGACCACCCAGGATAAGTGGTCAATTCAAACCCATAAGTTTATGCTCTTTCTTTTACAAGACCATTTGCAAAAATACGGGCAAACACAATGAAGCAACTTCTCAAGAAATAAACATATCACAAACACACAACTTTTGTCGTGAAAGGCACATCCAAGACAATATTATCATGGCATATGTTGTTTTTCAACCTTTAAGATTGAAAAGGCAGGTGAATCATGCACAGGTAGAGCTACTAAGGTTGACATGAACATGATGTAGAATCACATAAGCTTGAATTTCATAAATTAAGCTCCAATTGATAAACCAACGTCTTAGCCTTTTTGTTATGGCATACTCATCATTAGTGGGAAAACCCCTTGTTCAGTTATTCACTACAAGGAATAAAGAGAAGGAAACCCTTTGTCACCTTACATTTTCATTATAGTTGTAGATGTTTGGAATGATCTCACATGCAATTGCTGAAGAGCTATGAAGCACGGATACTTCGTTAAGGTTGACGTACCCGTGTCCAATACTGTATCGGATACGATACTCGTTGGATACTCGAGGATACGTATCGAATACAACTTCTACGTATCCGATAATAATTAAATATTAGGATACTTTACGGATACTTTTGTGGTCGAGCAACATATATAATTTTTGAGTTGAACTTTTAACATCTCTTTTTAAATTCACATATCATACAATACATTAACAAAAAATTCATATTACTCCGAAGATACATGAGTGTTTCTTAAGTATTATCTACAATTACATGTCAAAAGAGCATAAAATAAAGTTATTACATTATTATCCTAGCAAAAATTACTTCTAAATACTAGGTAAATATTAGTTTTAATTTCTTTAATTAGTCACTTCACTTTATGAATATACTACAGCGAAACGATATATATTTTCTTGAAATTAAAAAAAATTACTAATTTTCCTTATTGTATATTAAAGAACTACTAAAATATATAAGTATTATGCGGGTTGAAAATAATAAAAATATTAAATATATTTTATTATAGCCGTATCTTAGCCGTACCCGTATCCTACTTGTTTAGACTTTGTCGTATCGTCGTATCCGTATCGTATCGTACTCGTATCCCGTATCCGTATCCGTGCTTCATAGCTGAAGAGAGATCAGAAGGAATTAAAAATGAAGCAGAAGTGTTCAAGTTGCCGATGATGCTTTGTATTCTCACAAAGCCACTATGTCAAACTCTGCATAAATTACCAAAATTCTAAACAATTATTGGAATGCATCAGTACAATTCTTCCAAGTTGTCTCATGGCACACATTCGTCTCACGGTAGATGTACTAATCAAAAAGTAAAAATGAGCTTCGGTGGATGGAAGGGCTACAGTGACGAGGCTGCCTCTGAACCAATTGCTGAAGCTTTGGCTTGTGGAGAGGGGTTTTGGTTCTCCGCACTTGTTTCTTAAAGCAATTTGAAATTTGTTGTGTTCTCCTTTATTCATCCAGAGATCCTCATCTAATGTGATGCTTCTAGCTTTTTGGTTTGATGTTTTTTTTTTGTTTATTTTATTTTTCCTGAAGACCAAATAAAGAAAAGGAAAAGAAGTGAGAAGCACATGTGATAAAGCTTAGAATTTAATTATCCAGCTATCCTATTAGCAATCAACAACATGTCATAGACATCAGTTGTCCTAAAACTAATAACATTATTTTGGTTCGTTTTTCCTTTTTAATTCCAAAGAATATTTTTAGTCTAAATGAAAAATTCAATCTTGGAAACACCGTTCTTGTAGCAACAGTAAGAGTGATCATACACTTATGATAATGACAACAATGAAAATAATCAAAAAGTATAGGGAAGACAACTAATGATGGTCTGCAAGTATACCGTACCCTTAGAAATTTCAGGTAAATGTAAAATCAGAAAAAAAGAGCATGTTTTTCTTGGTTTGGAGGATGAGAATGAGGTTGGAACTTGCAATCACCTGCGTACCGAAGTGAGCCCTTACCACCGGGCCTCTCCCTCACCTCAAAAAAATAGCAATCGAGTCTTCTCATCAAATCATTTGAAACCCCCCCCCCCCCGGGGGCGCCCCCCCAAACACAACACACACACACACACCAGAAAATAAAATAGCATCACAAAATTTATAAAAAGGGAGAAGAAAGGCAAGAAGAAACTGCAGAATCCATTACAAAGCTAATTATATGCTGAATTTAATTACCTAGAGAACAAGCGAGAGCCATGCCAACCATCCCACCTCCAACAATAGCAATGTCATATTGGGGTACATTGTTTGTCGAATCAAGCTTGTCAACAGGTTCCTAGAATTTGAAAGCGTAAAAGTCATACTGAAGAATCTTTTTCATGACCCAAAATGTAATGAATGTTTTGTCCAAAGACAAGAGCAACACATGAATGCAAATTAAAGAATAAAAAACAAGAGAAACATCTGCTCTTTAATAACTAGTTGATCGACATCACATTTGACTGAATAAATGACTGGCAAATCCTACAACGATCTAGGAAAAAGAATCAGGTAGTGAGTTCTAGTCACCAAGCAAAAAATAATATTATCAAGTGGCCCCCAAGGAGCATAAAAATAAATTATGGTCTCCAAGCAATAATAATTTGATGCACCAAGTCCCATATAATTGAAAAGCAGAAGGTGCTTTGCAGAATCTCGTAATATAAGGTGTGGAGTTGAACTAGAAGAATAATGAAAGGTCCAGACACTGAAGATATTTCTACTGATTAATTCATCTCTGTATCAGCACTATTAAATCTAGACATATGACTAGAAATTGCTTTTGGGTAAAGACAACTGTATTGAAGTTGATACCCAAACTGACAGCTATGACACCGAAACTCTGATGTGAAAAACTGACTATGATCAAGTTGATATGCTTGATACATATAGTTTTAAGCTTGCTCACTGAAAAATTTGCTACCATTATTTAAAGCATATTTGGACAATTTTATTTTCCTCTAACTAGAAAAAAAAATACATCACTATTTTCTCTTAAAAAGGCAAAAAATTCACTAAAGAATAAGGGGCACTACATTCGTACATCAGGATAATTATCTAGGAACCAAACTATGCAAAGAGACATATATCTAACAAGGCTGAAATAACTGCTGGAATAAAAATTTGAAGATTATTATGTTCCCATAATCCAGTGCTTAGATGATTTGGAGGAAAGATCAGAGAAGAGATATATGGGGACGAATAAACAAATGCTGCAAGAAGATAAAGACTGGCCAAAACAAGAGACTGAATTGAGAGTCAAGCACCTTGCACATAATCTTATCTTCTCCGAGTTGTAATTTGAATGTGATTCAAATGAACACCCTACACATGCTATTTAAAAGCTGAAAATGTACTTGAATTGAAATATAAGGAAAAAATGGTTCCCACAACAGAATTTTGAGAAAAATACAGATTCATAAATTAGAATAACTTATACAATCATCTAAAACAAGTCATGTAAACAAATAAAATGCTGGTAGCAAGCAAGGTTTGTCCATAAATAATAATTTCAATAGAAAGCAGCATATAATTTTAGAAACAAATAATAGATCTTATATTAAGAAAATGAAAAATTTTCTCTTCAATGAAATTAAAATGATAAATGCTGAAGACTTCCAGAGGTCAGAGGTTTAGATTTTTTTGATATGTGAGTTTTTACTAGTTGACATTATCATAAGCTAAAAGATATGCTGCTTGAAGAAATTTTCCCAATACATAAGGATAACTAAGGACCTTAGCTTTAACAACTTATTTCATAATTGGTTAGTGAAAAACACCCATATCACAATGCTGTGTATGGATTTGTATCTTCCAAGCATGGATTTTACTTGTACATACAATGCAACAAATGAACAAAATAAATAAAATCCGTTTAACACGACCACTACATGTATTCCATTATGGATTTTTAATTTAGGGATCCGTGTAATGAAAAAGACAAGCACACAGTTCTTCTGGTTTTCCTTCACGTAAAATCCTCATATATGATTATGCCCATAATAGACACTTCACCAATGAAAATTCAAAAATACACATTGTTCAGGCATAAAACAAAATCAGACTAGTTAATAACATATTCCAGTCAATTAAGATAAGTATCTAAAGAGAATTATGACAAGAATATTACATTGTTAGTTAGGCCACAGTTTGAGCCAGGTAAGTTTGCAGCTTCATCACAGAAAGTCTTCCGTGCATATTTCAACCCACAGATATTAGGCACAACCCTTCTTGCAATCACCCTGTTTCCAGCAAATAAAACATGGACATATGGTATTAACTGAATAAGCATATAAATGAAATTGGCAATGCTTCATCATGTCAACATTCATTTTATATGCACAAGAGCAAGTCTGCACCAGCTCAACCCAGAGAAGGAAATCATAACATTTTCAATATTGTACACCTCTACACATATGCATATGAGAATGTTTGTGAGGGTGTGTGGCTGTCTATGTGTATGCATGCATGTATGTGTGTGTATTCCCAAACTGGCAGTATTTCCGATCTTTTGAGTGATTTAAATCGTGGGAAATTGGGAATGTGGGCCTCTTTGAAATTCAAAACCACAATACAATGCAGTGGGTTTCATTATATAATCTTTACATATGAGAATGTTTGTGTGTGGGTGTGGCTGATTGTGTGCGTGTGTGTATTCCCAAACAGGCAGTATTACAAATTTTTGATTTGTTTGAATTATGGAAATGTGGGCCTCTTTGAAATTCAAAAACATAATACAATGCAGTGGGTTTCTTTATATAAGCTTTACATACATATGCATATGAAGATAATTATATACAAGTGTCAACACCAAACAATCACATGGAGTCTCTGTAAGCTCAAATTCGCTAACCCAGTTTTCCTAATTTCTTAAACACTATCGACTAAGAATGACGGCCTCCAAAAAAATTTTGTGGGTATTTCTAAATTAATTAATTTCATATATAACAGATGATCGGAATATGAATTCAACCATTTGATACCTGTACAATGCAAGGGCACACCCAACCGGTAACCTGAACAGTATTGCGTATACAATCACACACACACACACACACACACACACACATATATATATATATTATGTATTTGTTCATTATGTCTTTGCAACCCATAGAAAAATCCATACACAAAAATTGCATACCTGTTCATGTTGGGACTGAGGAACGAGCACACTGGTAGCTCAACGAGGGAGAGGGACCGATCAAATGGTGGGTTGACGAGATTGGGGCCAAGTCCAAGGTCACTGGCCCATTTTCTGATCATATGATCTTGGCCCATGAATTTATTTAAGGTTAATTACACTAGAGAGGTCCCAAAAATATAAAATTTGTCTTATTTTGGTCTCCAGTATTTTAATTGTATTGTTTTGGTTCTTAAAGTATTGAACATATTTTTATATGGTCTTTCAACCAAACAATATTCAGGTTGCTAATAATTTTTTATCATAAACTTATCACGTAAATAGCTAAACATGAACAAAAAATAATTTTGATAGCTCTTAAATAAAATTTGGGTAGCTCTTGACAAAAAAATGTGTAATATAAATAATTTTTTATCAAAATTTGGATAGCGTATGATCAAAATTGTGTAAGTTAGATATTTAACCAAAATTTGGTTAAATTTTGATCAAAAAAAGTGTGTCCATATTTAAGTATCATGTGACAAATTTATGATATAAAATCATTAGTAATCTGGACACTATCTGCTTGAGAGACTATTCATATTCAATAATTTAGGGATCAAAATGATACAATTAAAATATTAGAGACCAAATGAGATAAACTGTATACTTTGGGGATCTCTAATGCAATTACCACATTTTTTTATTTTATTTGAATAAATTGTACTTTATATGTTGAAAGATTTAGTAATTCTCATTTGGTACTTTTAAAAATTATATTTTTTATTTCACCCTTAATATCTAAAAAGTGCTACAATATGGTTCTACCATTAGCTTCTTCTTCGTCAATGAAGTAATTTTTAACATAATGAGCAACAAAAATTAACGACAGGCCATAATGTATTGAAGGATGTAAGAAATTAATCTTTAAAAGTATAAAATAAATATTTTTTTATATTTTTGGGGTATAAAATGAATATTTTCCCACCTGGGGCATCATGTGCATTATTTTTCTGTTAAAATTCTAACTATTTTTTTTTTCTAATTTGACTACATTAATATTTTAAATATCGGAGAATAAAATTGATAAAAATAAAATTTAAGAACCAAAATAAAACTTACAAGGCGAAAAGTATGAATAAAGCTTTTTATCTTGTTTTTTCATGCTTTAGTTGCACATCGCATGTGCCCATATTGCAGTATATAACAAAGCTAGAGTTCCTTGGGAGACATTGTCTTGTGTTAATCTCAAATGGGTAGTTCAAATAATAATAAGAACGAGTTGTAAACTCAAATATCTTAAGTTTGAATTTTGGTAACCTTATGAGACTAGACTATGAGGGATTTATCTCTCATAAAATTACCCTAGTTCCGACATGAATGACTTGTCTTTAACTAAACCAAAAAAAAGATTAGTCAAAATATGCGTAAGTTAATCTGAGCACTCCTGACTGTTAAACTAAAAAAAAAAACTTGTGTCCTTTATAATTTTTACTCAAAATTTGATTTCATTCAACATTCCAAAAACAAATCAGGACCAATAGGTTTGGTAAGCCTATTTCTAGTTAGCATGGACTCTCTGCGAATGCATGACTTTAGGGTGGATTAGAGCTTCTCGTAACTTGTTTTTGACATCTTTGTTAAGTGTCCATTTTAACTGAGGTACATCTATATGAAAGGACTCAACTCCGTATTGAAGAAAGTACGATAACAAAGTTTATAAATTTCGGAGGTTTATTTACAACTAAAAAAATTGAGATTCATCCTAGTATTTTAAGATCAATCATAAAAATTTTATAGCTTTTTGGGATATGTTTCAACTTTTAGAGTTGAAGTAACAATTTTTGGTGGTCAAGTTATCATAAGGACCGAGAAAAAAAAACCCTAAAAAATTATAAATTAGCCTAAAAAAGTATATAAAAAACAGTAAAAATTTATACATGATTAGGTGATACCTGAAATATTTTGTATCTCGTACATGAAATAGATCTTTTTCCCTTTTTTTTTTCCATTGGGTTTGACTTATTCCTAACCCTTCGGAGATTCAGACCACCTTGCATATACTTAATTCAATTTTTCTCAATTGAAAATCATCATCACTAAATTTTAGTGGGGCCCATTATATAAATGGACTAGGGTATTTCATGCAAAGTACATTTTTTTTACTTTGGGTAAAATATGAATAAGTGTTTAATGTAGTTAAGGATTAAATATAAATAGGTAGATTCACTATGATCAAATGTTAAACTGTAAGTTGAAAAATAAGGTGGCGGATCTAAACCGCTGGTGTCTTTTCTGCAGCCAGGGCGCTCTGTTATATTATATAGAAAAAGAATTTATAAATCCCCACCTATGCATAATGGGCGACTTAGAATTGGGTGAAATTTAGAATATGACGTATTACAAGGGAAAGAACCAAAACTAACAAAACACTGGAATAAATCAACAGCAATTACGCTGGAATCAACAGCTATGACCAGAAAAGAAGCCACAAGAAGAATGCCATAGCCATTCCATGTTCCGGATAGCAAAACTTGCAGTGTTATGCTATATGCCCTTACTATCAAGAAAATTACAACAAAATAGGCTAATATGAAAATCTACACAACATTAGACAGGACAATAAAAATAAATTCTATATACCCAACTCCATCACAATGGAAGAAATCAAACATGCTCCATCTTGATTGCTTGCCCATATAAAGAAAGCAAGCATTCAATGAACATTTCCCCTCCCAAATCAGTTTGAGCAGCATCCAGCCTATAAATGATCTCATCTTCTCACTTCAAATATGAAACAACATCAGAAGATTTGGTTTTGGAAGGGAATGTCCAGTAGGAATTGAACCTACAAATTCGCCATTTAACCATTCAGCCATGAATGCTTAGCAGGGAACCTTGTACAGGATAAATAACCAATTCCAACTGTACTGAAATCTTTAGGGCAAATCAATGTAATTTTGGTGGAATCAATGAAAGGACAAATTCAAATCCTGGACTTTCTCCATCTTTTCGCAGAAACTGCAGCTTAATTACACCAAAATTTCCTCACAAGTCTCTTCTGGTTTTTTATTTGTTGAGTCGTGTAGAAAAAAATGACGATTAAATACTTGCTTGCCACTTCATCTTTCACCTCCACCTCAAAAGAATAGGAATGCAAAATTCTCAAGCTCACACCACATGACGAATGTGACCAATTTCCATCCAATCAACTTAATCACCAAAAGCGCAAGATTAGGTCTACTTGCAATGAATCTGAATTAGTAGCACTGAAAACCTACGACTACAATTAAGTCAGACCTTAAACAAACATACAGCATTTTTCCTCATCAGCTCTATACTTTCAGCAATGGTTGACCCAGCAGTCCCTACAAAACCAAGTGAAGCACAGCTGCAAACAGCTTCTTCTATATACAGAAGTATATCAGGTAATAACGGAGGATGGCAGTGCTTCCCAATCCCATCAAATCCCTCAGGAACAAACCCAAATTTCAAGCCATATCCAGCAGCCACAAGTTTTTTCGCTGTTCTTTTCACCAATTCATCTTCTTCTCTCAGAACAAAAAGCTTAAAAGCATTTGAATCTCTTACTAAATTTCCCAAGTAACTTCTAGTCCAGTTACCTATAGGAAGATCAGTCATGACAAATATATGAACTGGATGCAGACCAGTTTGTTTCAAAGATTCTAACTGTTGTTTTAACCTCAGAAACGTAGCCTCCCAGTGGTTCTTGAACTGCCCATCCAAAAGTCTAAGCTGTGCACAAAGAAAAGGAGCCTTAACTGTCTCAAGAGCAAACTCCTTCCCTGCACTCATGATTTCAGGGACGAATGGCAGAAATTCAATCTTCTTCAATAAATATTCTGTGTGTGGATCCCTTGGTGCATCATGGATATCAATGTACGACTCAGAGCCCTTATATGGGGCTGTGAAAAGGCTTCCAAATGCCAGAACAGTGGCTGATGCAGCTCCAGAACCAGGTCCCAGAGATTTATATATGTCTTGACGTCTCCTAACAAATGATAGATTTTTCTTGTTCTTGAGTTGCTCATCAGGTTGGAATGAATCCAATACCCCATCTTCATTCTTTTGGTATGTCCACACTGTTGTTCTGCAATCTTCATCTACAGAATACAAACATTTATTCCAGTTACCATTATTCCCAGATAGCAGAGATCCACATTGTCTTAAATTCTCAAACATAGACAATTCTTTTTCTGAGTCTTCGGAGTAAGCACAGTCTATCTCCATGCCACACCACATAGATACAAAAACTCTAAAATCTATGACCCTAATTGCTGAAGTAGACACCAATTCTGAAAGATCAACTATGTCAGCCATGGATATATACCTGCAACCACAACAATAAAATATATGAAACCAACCTAAATCAAGCTTCTTCATTTAACCTTTTTCAGTCCAAAACCACCTTACCTAAATTAAGCACTAATGCTTCGTTTTGATAGATAAAACAACCTGGAAGCCTAATTCTAACAAGGTTAAAACCCAATGAGTAATTCTGAGTTCTCCCAAGAATTAATAAGGGGCAGAGAGAGTTACATGATTGATACTACGGGCATGAAAATTTGAGCAGACCAAATCAACACAGAACCTTATTTTTTTTAATTATATTTTTTTTTTGGGAGGGGGAGGGGGAAGGGGAAATCAACACAGAACCTAATTTGGGCAAATTTAGCAGCTTTTCCAAGGACCTACATGCACTTGAATGTGTATACCCACACACACAGACAAACCCCCACACACGTATAGAACATTGAAATATGTGAGAGTACTGAAACTAAAAAAGAACCCATTTAGACCCAGATAAAATTTGAGAAATTCAATGGTTAATCCCTTCTTCTAATATGTTTTATTCCCAAATTAAATCTAGAGAAACTTAACAGCTCTGCCAAAGAAAATAAATGAATATACATGACTGCATATACATATAAACACACATATATGATTAGACCGAGCAAATTCACTTGCCTGCGTCCCCGAATGAGCTCAATTATATGATTCCAAACCGAAAGCCTCAGGTCTTTGGGGCTCAAAACCCTAAATTTTGGACAACTACCGAGGGCAACTGCATGGTGATCCAGAACAGGAGGGATAACTAGGGTTCGATTCAGTATGGCAGCCATTAAAATAGCGTTCTTGAACTCTGATAACTGATTGCTGAACCCACTGTGTGGTGCGTACCAGATGAATTTATCTCCCAGAGCTTCTAATTGCGAACTGCATTGTAAGGGTTGGGAAATTCTGGACATCTGGAGAAAATCGGAAACAAAGTGTTTGTAAGAGAGGAAGAAGATGAGAGAGAGGACGAGGAGGGTGGGGATGAGGGTGAGGAGAGATTGAGGGAAGACTGAAAATCGATGAGTGTGTCTCTTCTTCCATCGGTTGGCTCTGTTCAGATTCGCAGCCTCCATTATTGTTTCATACAGAACACAGATTTCTTCGTGTTATTATATTACCCATTGCATCAATGTCAATGAGATTTTACTCAAACCCAGCGGGTTTTGGAGAGTTATACCAAAATCATGTGATTTTGAAAGTAATTCCTAAACCTAAACCTAAGTTGTTTTAAAAACCTCCTCCCAACGTAAGAGACGTTAGTTCAAAGGATGTTTATGTGGTATAAAAGATAATTTTTTTAAACTTAATATTTTCAAGAGTTAAATTCTAATCCTATATTTTATGAGATAACAAAAAAGTGAGTTTTAAAACACACATTTTTTTTTTCAATTGTTCAAATTCTCACAATCGACTTTAACGACAATGCTAATAAATAATAATAATTTTTTTGTATTTGAAATACAAAATATCATGAACTAATATGACGTGAAACAAATTTTTTTAAATAAATTTTTGGGAATAATTTTATTTTTTGATAAAATTTGTTATATCTTCAATTTTCGATTTTAACTAAAAAAATTTGTTTATTCCAAAACAATGTTATAAGATTTTGGTGAATAATGTCATTTGTCGACCAAAATTATATAAATTATGTGCATATAACCATTAAAAATAATTTTGTGAAAAAAAATCAACTTATGCATCAAAATAAATAAATTTATTGCATTATAGTGCATAAAATATAATTTGTTAATAATGTGGTTGATATTCATAACAATATAGAGATTGACCACATACACTAAACTTGATGAAAAAAAAGGTCTGACGCAACATCACTTCAAACTAAAAAAACAGAAAGTTTAGGTTTGAAAACTAGTAATAGGTTTTCTAAAATTTCAATCTCGTCATAGTTAGGACTGAAATGCTCAATTTTTGCATACTCAATTATATGCAAACAATCAAACCGATGCTGCATCTGATCATTTTCACCTTAAAATCTTGTTATGATCTCGTCATAGTTGTTTGAGTTTTGTAGATGTTATATATCAATCGAATGTGCCTTTGGTTCTACTAGTTCATGCCAACAACAATATATTTTAAGCTCACAACATTTGTCATATAACTTTTGTCATCTTAGTGTGAGTTCAATATGAGCACTCGAAAGCAAATTGTCGGTTGGAAGTCTAACAATTACGTATCCAACGTGTCCAAATGATTGATAAGTGTCAATAAGCTCATTGTGGGACTCACGTTTTCGTCCATACTACGTTACACCACTGGAATCCATGTAGGATCCAATAGAGTCAGTCAAGCGTTGGCATTCGTTGGTTGAAAATGAACTATGTTGTTCATTGCGTGATGAAGAACTATCGATGGTTTGATTAGATTGTCTATTTGATGTGCGCCTAAACATTTTTTTTTCTTATGATGTACACAATTATGAATGATGATTTATAGAGGTCCGGTTGTGCAATTTAAATTACAATGAAATTATATAAAAATTTAACATGACATCATAACTTGACACTGATAAAGTAATGACTTGACTTAATACCGTTAAAGTTGTGATATAATAATAACTGATAAAGTAATGACATGCCCTGATACTATCAAAGTGGTGATATGATATTACACTTATAACACTAATAAAGTTATAGGATTGCTTAACAATGATTACCACTTAGTATAATTGTTAATATTCATCCAACATATAATTATCTGATAGATATTGTTCATTAGACAATATAATATTTCGCTAAATTGGCGTCAACTCTTGTCCATATGCAGTTTCCACCAAGTCTGTTGCTAGCTGGACCATATAATATCGATACCTATGCACCATCATTTTATTATTCTCTCATCAGACATGTTTTTATTGTTGATTCGTAGTCCTTTCTATTTTTTCATTGCATCATTAGTGAACATATATGTGGCACCGGTATGTCAAGTTCTCTTAGTTGTTGCATAATGCATCTAATTCATTAGCATGAATCGCTCGCTCTCATCGTACTCTTACATAATACTCTTTTAGGTCAAAAAATCTCTCACTCCTGTAATCATCGTTTCGCTCTTTTAACAACCAAACCCATTGACGTTTGTGATTGCTATAGACTATAAAGCTTTTTGATGTAGACATAATTTTCAATGTATACCATAGCAACCACGCATACTATAAGAGTTTTGTACTTCAGCACATGGGTTACAAAAAAGTTGATTCAATTTAAATATTGTGTTACTGAAAAAACGGATTTTAAAACATGGAGTGGTGTGAATTAATCGAATTGAGCTTGTAATTTTTTAGTCCATTTCTTTGTAAAGTGAGCTAATGCTCAGTTTGGATTTTATCGTCATTACAATTTCAAAAAAATTACATTATGAATTACAAATATTCAAACAATCACAAAATTACAAGCAATCAACAATTTTTGCATTTCATAAACTAAATTTTACATTTAAATTTAATAAAGAGCAAGAGAGAAAGACAAAGAAAGAGAGAGTGCGAGGGATAATAGACAGAGTGAAAGAGAGATATTGGAGATAGAGAGAGTGAGAGAGATAACAAAGACATATAGAGAGTGAAAAAGTATACAAAAATTTCGGGAGAGAGAGACTTAAGAATTTTTTAATAGAGAGTAAGATAGTGAAGCTGTGAGAGAAGGAGAGTGAGAGAGTTATAAAATACATAGAGAGAGACAGTGACATATTGAGATAGATAGAAGAGAAAGGGAGAAGCAGAGGGAGAGTCATACCAAAAATTCACCGGTGGAATTCAACTCATCTGCTCCAATGGACTACTGGTTCTCTCTGATTTGGCTTTCTACAAATTGGGGGGTTTTAGTTGTGTGGCTTTTGGTTGGTGGGGTGGTTTCAGACGGCGGTTGTTCTGAAGGTGGTGGTGATTTCAAATGGGGGTTTTGCTGATTTCGAAGTAGAGCTAAAAATTGACTATGAAATATATTTTTTTAATAGACTATGAAATAGTAAAAAACAAAAAATTTGAAGCTAAAAGTTTTTACTAATTCCAACCTCACTATGTTTGATTTGAATAAGCCAAATAAACTAGTAAAACTAAAGAAACAGTAATGGAGTGGAGAATACATCTATTTCCAATTATTTTCCTTAATTATCATATATATAAAAAGCAATCAAAAGCTCGTCGATCAACATGGGTGTAAACAAACCCAGTAAAAATACATATCTATTTTCAATTATTTTGTTGATAATTGACTATAAGTTGCTAAAAATATGAACTGAATTCCAAAGAACCCAAGTCAAAGTTGCGCCAAATGTTCAATTATTATTGAGATGTGTGAGACGAAGGTTTTAAAAAATACAACAAAACCAAGAAGATGAAGAGGAAGAAGCTTACCTACTGGTCTTCAAGAATCCTTCAATGTGGTCAGCAATGGTGCAGTTATAAAGACAGATGCAAGGAGAGGCAAGAAGTTGTTTTGTGAATGAGTCTTTTAGGTTTAGATAGGTAAAAAGTTATCGTTAGAAATTTGATATAGAATTTGGGTTCAAAATAAGTTTTTTCTTAATTTGGTATAAGTTTAAGTCTGAGGTTAGAGAGGTTTTTTAGGCTATTTAGACTCAAATTTAAATTAGAGTCTAAATTAGAGTCAATATTGGAGATACTCTAACAAAGTTGGGAGGATTGCATTTTGCATCCAAAAAATTTAAAAATATTCGTTTTATACCTCTAAAGATTATTTTTTTTTACATTATATCTTCAATGTATCAAAAGTGTTGCAATATGACCATTTTGTTAGATTCTATTATTCTTTTTGTAAGTGTTAATGAGAAGATTTTTGACAAAAAAGATAACAGAAATGCCACATTACAACATTTTTAATACTTTGCAGAACAAAAACAGTCTCAATTATTGATTTGTGAACAAACCCATCAACAAGCAAGATGGTTTCTAGGAATCTTGAATGCAAAAATAGAACAAACAATCAAGAAAACCATTGAAAACTCAATACACAAACATGTTGTGTCAGACCTCCAATCACATATGATTTTCCTAATCGAAAAAATTGGAGGAACTGCCGGTTGTGGCGATGCAGGGATTCGAAATTGTGTCCGGTGGTGCGAAGAAGTCAGCATTGTATACAGTGTAATCAAGAATGGCACCAATATTGTGGACCGCCATTGTAAAACCCGAGCATACATGTGCACGAAAAAAAATATATAGGAAAATATTTTTTTATAGTGCATGTTTTAATAGGTATATAATTAAAAAAAATTAGAATTAAAAAAAATCAAAGTTGAGTTATTTATGGAAATGTCATTGTATGACATTTCTTTCCAAGTTGTTGCCCGGCAACAGAGGAGTTCTCCCTAGCTTTCTCCAAGTTTCTAGTGTGGTGGAGGAGATGCTTAAAACTTTAGCAAGTCTCTGGATAAGGGAGAAACGCCAAGAGAAAAGAGAAAGAGAGAAGAGAGAAGCTAGAAAGAGAAAATCAAATTAGGAATTTTGGATTTGTGGAAGAAGATACTTTGAATGATTAAAGTTATGCTACTAGACTAATTTGAGGGCTAGGAATCTCCGGGTATCATTAGAATTTTATATCATCTACTACAATTGCTCGAATTCATGTTTTAAATTTTCGGGTTTTAGGTTTTTATGAAATGAGTTTTGAGTTTGAGGTCATTTTGGTTGGCATGGTTGTGTTGTGGGGAGGTATAAGAGTATTTTGGTGGTGATTTCAAAGCTTGCCATGGTCGGAGGTGGTGGGTTAGTAGTGATGAAGTTTCGGTCATGGTGAGTTTTTGATCTCTTGATTTTAGGACTTAAGATTTGGAGAGAAGGTTGTTCCTAACTAAAATGGACCTTAGGAATCATTTGGTGATCTTATAAATGGATTTAGAAGTTGTTAATATGGTTAAAATGCAAGTTGCAGGTCTGGCCATAAACTAGAAACCTTATTTTTGGTTTACTTTGACTGGTTTTGTTTATGGGTTTAAGCTTAATTTGAAACTTGAGAATTAGGGGATTTTGTTAGAGTGATGTGTGATGAGTGTTTAGGTTCAAAAATTAGGTGAAAAAGTGTATTGAGTAGGGAGGAATAAGGGTGAGAAGTAAGGAGGTTAGGGCTGATGAGTGGAGTCTAAGGTTTTGGTCAAAGTGACCAAGGAAGAAGATGAAAGAGGAGAAGGTACACCTATACACTCCAACGACGTTTGAGGTAGCGTCTGACATC